TGTATTATTCTATGTTCTCAGCAGCGGAATGGGAATATGTCGGAAATTGGTTCATAAGAGTGATGGGCTTCAGTTACCCTATAAAGCAGAGAAGACAAACTCATTGAAGTCCGTTCTCTGCAAAACAAAATTTTTCTGCTTTCGTTAACGTCCATCCTGAGATATTCAGGTGGAACTAAGTGAAGCAATAGTTCACTTTTACCTCTTCAATAAAAGTGGTAGATTCGGAGAAACCGTAGAAACTCGCTATTAAGAAGTCAATAGAGTCAGAATATTGTGGGTTTTTTTTTTGGTCAACTCTGTGTCTGACTCAAGCCAATCGCTGTGCTTGGGTATCGAACCAGCCTGAGATTTCCACGCTTGTTTGCCACCCCTACGTGGAAATTTCCCTACACGTTCAAAAAGAGAAGGAAGTTTCTCCTGGTGTCCTTGCCAAATATCCCCCTGGTAAAATTGGTCACTCACTTTAGAACTGTTTGTGGGACATTGCTGTGTGTAAATTGGCTGCCACGTTCACTTGCAAAATACATAGTCACTGCACTTTAGATCCAATCTTGCGAAGAACTTTGAGACCTCGTAATGACATTATACGACGCTGCATCAAATGCAAGGATTATTACTACTGGGCTAATAAATGCAGTACATAGAGGCCTTTAGACAACAGTTTTGTTCTGGAACGTGCGTATCGATCATTTTAGTGGTTTTGACCAGATATTAGTGAGTTGACGAGGATCATTTATTGATGCTAAATAAAAGTGAGCTAAAGAGGATCTCAGTGCATCATTGCTATATAAATCTGGTCCCAGCTAAGAACCTTTGCTGTAAAGCCCTGGTGTTTGATCTTTTGCATGTGGCTGTTACCTCAAAGTGCTCTTAATTTTAAGGCTGCTGTTAGCAAAGCAATCTAAGCATATAATTCCAAGGAGCTGGTTTCATCAGTGGACAGGCCTGTGTGTAATAAAGGCATCATGCATTCAGAGCCTGTTTGAATGAAGTAGACTCCAGCTGGCCACATGAAGTGAACTGCAGCTGAGAATGTAAAATAGTAATAACAGTCCTTGCATTTGATATAGCACCTTTCATGTCTCTAAGCACATCACAGGATTTTACTGTAAAAGTGCAGTGACTGTGTGTTTTGCAGGCAAACATGATACTCAATCTGTGCACGGCAGCGTCCCACAAGTGGCCCTAAAGGGCATGACTACAGCTGGGAATGTGAAGTGGACTGCGAGTCTCAAACAGACTCTGGGATATAGTACATCGGTAGTTTGGGATATATGTGCATGTGACCGCCAGGCAGGTGGAAGACGAACTAGATGGTTTTTATTTATTTTTGTCTAGCATTTCTTACGTTCTTATATGTTTCCCTTGTTCTTCTATAACTCATCCGTTGGTATGGTTTACCTTTGGATTTTTCCAGATTTGAGGCTATGGGCATAGAAGAAAATATAGGGAAATCACCTCCATAATAAACCACCTCCATAATAAATCCATAATAAACAAATGTTATTTTGCTTAATTTTTATTTAGTTTTTTTAATGTTTTGTTTTTAATTCAGCACTTTGAGGCTTCCTCCTGATGTGAAAGGCTCTATATAAATGTAAATTGTATTGCATCTTTGTGATGCCAGTCAAGCAGTATATAGGGAGGGAGTTGGGAAGACTTCTCTTAGTAATACCAGATGTCTTAATAGTGATTTAAACATAGTAATAATAATAATAATAATAATAATCCTTGCATTTGATATAGCGCTTTTCACGTCGGGAGGACGTCCCAAAGCGCTTCACAGAACACACTGTAAAGTGAATTGACTGTATATTTGTGGGCGAACGCGGCAGCCAATTGCGCACAGCAATGTCCCACAAACAATCGTGGATTGAAACTGACCAATTTATTATTGTTTTTGGTTTATAGTAGTGTCAATTCTAGGGTGAAAATGTTTTGTAGGTTTCTCTGGGGTTGGGAGGGTGAGCTTGCGGTATTGTTTGACGTTGGAATCTTTCCACCCTAGAGGTAATAAACCTGTGTAGGCTTGCAAAGCCTCCGCCTGCTCCAGAAAACTGTGATCTTCACAATATTTTATTGCTCAATGGGGCAAATAGTCACTGAGCTCCGACAGACCATCCCAATTTTCGGAGAATTTTTCCTTTCTCGCGTTTATCCGCAAATATTTTCCATAAACGTCTACGAAACACACACGAAGTCAACAGCGTCTAAATACGTACGTGCAATACAAAATACACAGTCAAACCACTTTACAGTGTTTTCCTGTGGAGCGCGTTTGAGACGTCTCGACGACGTGATAAAGCGCTATATGAAACGCAAGGATTACGGCTTACGTTTTTACATAGTGCTCTTAATGTAGGGCAACATCTCGGAGCGTGAGGTCAGGTGCAGGCGGCCGGAAAAGAGAAGTTAGTCGTAGGTGGCCACCCCCGAGATCAAATCATCTTGAACTCTCCTGGGAACATCATAATTGTCAGTGTACACAACAGGCAGAGTTCGAGAGGAGAAAATTACCTTACGGAGGGGTGTATAAAGTGCCCTGTAACCCTGCCGTGAGAAAAGGCACAATTTACCTCTGTTTAAATTGGCTCCTCGGGCTGACCAAATGCCACACATTTTGCCATTAGTTGACTTATAACAGGGATTTCTGTTTGTGTGCAATGTTAACGGCCTGACTCAGTCGGTCATAATTTTCTTTCCTACCTTCTGGCACATGGGGCGTGGGTGTCTTGACTTCAAGCAGCTAAAGGGAGTTTCGGTTAATGCTTGTACAGGACCACAAAAATGCAGCGAGGATAACTATTAGGTGTGTGTAGGTCATCAGTAACCTATGGGCGTTGGAGATGTCTTTTTTTTTCTTCCGAGGGATGGTTTTGCACCAATCCTGTTTTGTAGAAAAGAACAATGGAAAGCGGCAATAAGTAATACCCCAAAGCTTTCAGTCTGGTTCAGCTGCTTGAGTTCATTCAAAAGTTCTTCTGAAAGTAATCCTTATTCCTTCAAAAAAAATGCCCTCCGTTAATTCTATTTAATGTTTGAAGTCTAGGAGTGGCATGGATAAGTCAGCTGTCTGTGTGTGTGTGTGTGTCTCTCTCACTCTGTCTCTCTCTCTCTCTCTCTCTGTGTGTCTGTGTGTGTGACTGATGGCTCTTGGAGTTAAAACATATACTTTATCTTAGTAATTGACACGAATTCAAAGAGCTTTTTTTAAAATCCAATTGAGCAATTGGGTATTTTTGCTAAGTACTTTATAATTAAAAGTAATTGTGCTGTGACACAGCCTTGATGAATGAATACAGAAGGTGTGGTAAGAACATTGCAGAATACCTTGTGCATTCACATCACGGTCAAACCGCAAGAAAAATAATTTCCCAATCTAATGAATTAATTGCGAAAGATAGGAGGCATTTACATTGTTGTAACATCAGCACGATTTGTTTAATTTCCCCTTTTATAGCAGTTAAGTCGTTTTGACCCATTAAGCCAACTCCTTCCCCATTCCATACATAGGCTGCCTGTTACGGAGGATTATTGCCCTGGTTATTTCAATAGCCTAAGCAATAGTTCTGTGAAACTTCTGGGAGAGAGCAGAGGAAACTGCCACACATGTCAATCAGCTTTTCTAACTCAGTTATTGTGGGAACTTGTCCATCTTCCATTGCAGCGATCATTGTGGTTCATGGAGGATTCGATCGCTGCTGTTAAGAATTAGCTCTATAATCTTCAAGCCTGTTTCTAATCGCGTATTTATCTAGCTCTTTTTTTTGAAGGAGTTAATTGACGAGAGCATTAACTGCTTATACCAGGAATCTGCTCTGACTGGTGCAATGGCAAACTGTGGTAGTTTTCAGTGCACGGAAAGTAATCGACATTTTTTTAAAGAGTATTTAAGGTGCTGCTGACATCTCGTGGCTTTACAGTAGTACTGTACCACCCTTTGTTATTATAGTTGGCAATCCAAATGCTGTAAATGTTTTCTGTAGTTTCCGATGCATCATCTTATCATGAAGACAAAACATAAAATGAAGTTTTTTTTTAAACGTCAACAAGTCACCAGTTTTGTTTTGACACCGTCCTGTGAGCTGGCTGAGACATTACAATTTGTTCCTTATAAAAACCTCAAAACTAGGACACTTTCTGTCCGAGGGAATTACTTCTGTCTGTCATTGCACCGTTGCCGCTACTTTGGCTATTTTAATACGTCTCAGATCAAAGGTGAAGTTGTAAGAACATAAGTAATACTAGACGAGAAATACCATGCACATATGCCCCAAACTACCTATGTCCCATAATGTTGTTTCCTAAAAGAAAACTCTCTAATCTGTCTTTGAAAGAATCAACACTTCCTGATTCAACTATCTCCCTCGGGAGCCTGTTCCGCAGGTTCACTGTTTGCTCACTTAAATAGTGTTTGCGTAGATTTGTTCTGAATTTACGTCCCTTCAATCGCAGGCCATGTCCTCTGGTTCTAGTATTCTGGACACGTTGAAACAGACTAAAATTGTGATTCTTTCTAGGTTGGATGTTACTATTGTTCATACACAGCGTTCAATGTACTTCAAGTTTGCCTACAAATACAGTCACTGCACCCCACAGTACAAATCCTGTTGTGTGCCTTTGAAAGGTTTTGACAACGTGATAAGGCGTTAAGTAAAGTGCAAAGATTATTACAACAATTTTACATTTATATAGCACCTGTCACGTTGATGTGGAGGGCATTTCAAAGTGCTTCATCGAATCATCTAGGACCTGAGCTAGGAGTAGAGGGGAGCTGTGGAATAATGGGAGTGGGGGGGAAGAAGAGAGAGAGAGAGGTGAGTAAATCGACAAGAAAGGTCTAAAGATGTGTTTTAAAAGGAGGGAACGAGACAGAGGGGCTCTGGGATAGAGGTTTAGAGAGAAGGGGCTGATTGGCTGGTATTGAAACCAGCTCTGGATTGTCTGAAAGCTTCTTGTGACGGGAGATTTAATCTTTCCCATTCTGTTTTTCACAGGGCGCTCAGTTCACTTCCCCCTTCTTAGTCACAGGCTTTGGGCCCCGACTCTATCCTCTGTCATTTGGAGAAGGGGTGGAAGTTGATCCGCTGCCACCAAAGGAGATCAGGTAAACGAAACATCCTGCAGCACTGGGAGAGATGTTGCGTTACATGTTTCATTGAACATCTGAGATGTATTGTAAATGAAGAAATGGGGGGGTGCTGCTGAACCTCTGTTTGAGAGATGTCGTGCGCAGGCAAACTCAGCCACCGCTATTCTTCGGGAACCTGCCGTAACACAGGCTGTGGTTAGCTCATAGTTGAGCGAGGGTCTGTGGAGGGAGAAAGCTATAACAATAACCCTTTATTTGATGCAGCGCCTTATCACGTCTTTGAGTCGTCTCAAAGCGCTTCACAGAATATACCGTAAAATGAATTGACTGTATATTATGTGGGCGAAGCACGGCAGCAAATTGCGCACAGCAGCGTCCCACAAAGAAGTCGTGGATTGAGTGACCAATTTATTATTATTTTAAGGAAGGAATTATTACCTACGGAAAAGCGATCTGCCAATCTAACAACCGGGTTCCTATTTACCGCGAGGCAAACAGAGGCATATGGTGTAAGAAAACCTGCCCAACATTTCACTCTGCCGGGAATCAAACCCAGGTCTCTCGCTTGTGAGGCGAGCGCTCTAACCACTGAGCTACAGGACTCCTCGTACTGTAATACAACAAGTTGCACTTATATAGCCCCCTCCAAACAGGGTAGCGTCTCAGAGCACTTATACTTAATAATTTATACATTCTCCTACAAAATAGTCACTCCACTTTACAGCATATACCACAAAGCTCTTTGAGACGTTGTCCTGATGTGAAAGACGCAATATCAAAGGCAAGGAATGCTTTTTTTTTATTATTATTGTTGTGTTCCATGAACGTTCTTAATATAATTAATGATGTCTGTGTGATCCAGGTACACCTCCTCGGTGAGGTACGACTCGGACAGGCACTATATCGACAACGTGTTCCTGCCGTTAACCTTTGGAATCGCTTCCTGCAGCCAGACAGTCGTCTGTGTCCCCAACTGCACGTGGCGGAGCTACAAGACCGAGCTGAGATTTCAACCGCGACTCAAACCTCTGCGATTCCTGAGCACCACCATTGTGTATCCCAAGTGCGCAAAGACTGTCTACACCACCACCGTGGATTACAACTGCAGGAAAGCAGCGAGGCGATTTCTGTCCAGCGTTGAACTCGAGACGACGGAATACAACGGCAGTGAATTGGTCCTTCGAGATGACCAGTGACTGAAACAACAAATACTGTGTCGTGCTTTTTGTTCGAAGAAGAAAGAATATTCTTTTGAATCCTCGTCTGCAGTCATTCTTTAAACTGTCCAATTGCTTCTTAACCTGTTCGAGACTCAATTTCTTTTTGCTCCTTGCAACATAGCCTACATTAAACCACCACGGGGATAAAGTTAGCAATTTCATTTTCAAAAGTTAACACCGTTAACATTTAAGCAGGAAATTAAACCACGAGGGAAGTTTTTCTATTAATTTTTTTTGGGGAATGAATAAAGGATTTACAGTCTGTGCACAGACTGGACATGGTGTCGAGATGCAAGCTATCCGGCTCCAGTTCATCTGTGGGGATCTCCGATCTGAAACTATCCAGGACCGAACACTGAATGTCGGTTATTTTCTTTAAGGACTTAAATGGTTGCACAGGGTTGTATGCAAAGTGCATTCTGGCTAAAGATGCAAGCGTGACATTTGCCCATTCCAACCTGGGCCAAGACGTGCGTAGTACAGAGTTGCTGGGTGAAGCAGCGATTACGACCCTCTTGTATGTGGGATGGGATGCCAGAACGATAGTGGGCAAGAAGCTTCATCGGAGTATCGAGATTTCACGTCGGTTGTAATTCTGTATACAGTATCTTTACTGCTCGTTTCTGTGTAAATGGTAGTGAACAATTTCTTCCAATGCACGCCAGTTCAGTTAAGCGTACCTGTTATTTCTCAACTAGTGGGACATCGAGAGCGTATCGGTTCTCAACGTGGCTCATTCCTGGCGTTTCTGACATCGCCCCCTGATGCTTACCGTACAGTATTTGATACATCCTAACTGGCTGACAATCCTTTAAATGAGATATTTGCCTTTAATTATGGGACCTTGCAGTGTGTATGCCTGCAACAAAAAAAAATAGCCCACTGAAAGGTGCGTGTAGTTAAGTAAAGTGTATGCTTTTGCGCAGATGCACGCACGTGACTAGGGCAACCCATTATTTGTCGAAGGGTTAATGTACATTTCGAAAGGTCTAATCTTCCTCAATCGAAAGGAGCAGTCCACCTTAACCAACCCAAAAGGCAGGTAGCAAATGCAGTAAACAGAATGATTCTGTGTGATTTCCCAGTACAACCAAACTGCAAGGAACAGTTGGCATTGGAGGCCAGGGGGGAGGTGCGTGGTGACTCTTCACTGTACAAAATGCATAATCTCTCAATCGCGGACTGCACCTATTTAAAATGTGTCCTGGTTTTGGCTCCATGACGTATATGCTCTGTTGAAGTAGGTGCTGGAAGAATATGTTGGAACTCTCCACACCCCCCACCCCAAAGAAAAAAGTTTCCAAAAACTTTGCGTGTGCCACGCCTTCAATTCATTGAAACACTCCGAGTTTTGGTTTCTACAAATGGTGATGTGATGGGACAGAATTCAGTTCTCCTTTCAATCGATGTTTACAAAACTGAGGCATCTCACAGCTTCTGCGTTGCTCGATTGGAAATTGCAGCTTGTTTCATAAGAGGCAGCTTTATAATTTTAAAAACTAGTATATCCATGGTTGGTATGGTTAGAGTGGACTGCTCCTTTAATGACCATCCGGCTTTTAAACGTGAGTTGCGATTGGCAATGCAGCGTTTGCAAACCATTTGGCAATTCTTTCTAAGCCACTTTAAAACTACTAAAAGCACTTGTAAGGTTTTTCTTTTAAGAGTTGTGGCAAGGCTTCCTCTTAGCCCTTTTATATGAGGGATTAGACAGACCAAAGAAGGAAGAAGAGGCTTCTGCTACTAAAGCACTTGTTCGGAACATGGTTCAATGGAAGATTGTAAGAAGTTTGCACGAATATCCCGGCTCAGCCAAGCAGCTATAGCAATACTGTGGTGGCCTAGCAATGAATTGCGAGCTGGATAAATAAATGCGCTATGAATATCCAGTGGCCTGTAGTTGTATAATAATTCAGCTAAACATTTTGTGGGACCCAATGACATTGTAGGCCTTTACATTCTGGTCCCGCGTTGAAAAGAAAAATAATTGCAAGTGTGTTATTTGAAAGCTACCTGAGCACATGCCAGTTAGAATCGCACACAGGTTATTCAGTCCATCGTACCGGTGCCAGCTCTCTTTCAGAGCTATCTGTCAAGTCCCACTCACCCCACATTTACCTTTTTATGCTTTTTCCCTTCAATTTGTATGGCGGTTTAAAAACAAATTGCCTGTGATTCTCACTGAATGGGATACTCAAGATAAAAGTTCTCTTTTCAAACAAAATACCACCCCTCCCTCCTTCCCCCCCCCCTCACTTTCCAAACGGTTGTGTGTTAAGTTAAACAGAAAAAATTCAACTCAATGGGCTGCAGGTTTCCGATGGAATCGTTTGGGCTTTGTTATTGTCTTTCAAACGTGATGCGATAGAGATGACCCAACTTGTCTGAAGTCTGCTTCTGTTGATTGGACAGGTCTCTTAATAGTGTGTTCGATGGAACAAGTTGAAGTGATGGTTTAAGTGATTAAACGGACAGCGGAGGAGAAGTGGAAGTAGATTGTGCTGGTTTCCTTCCCTAGTTTTATCAACCTGTCTCTTGCAGACAGGTTAAAGGGAGGAACTCCTGCTTGGGATCCAAGGTAACATGGGGGACGATGGACAATTGCAAGTTTTTTTTTTAAAAAAAGGGAAAGCGAGCAAGCTAAGGTGGTTATGTAAATGTTGCAATTTCTACACATGTATTGTGTGAATGGAAATTAGTGATTCACGTGCAAATAATAAATAAATTTGATTTTGGTATTATCATGGATCCCTGCTATGTGTAGAAAATGACTGAAATTCCATGTAAAGTATTTTTATTACATTTTCAACAATGATATTGGGGTTCAATTGATGTCTGAAGTTAGGGGTACATTCTGCTCAGTGTCGGAGGTTAAGCGTAGCACCTGGGTAAGTGAAGTGGTAAAGGTCTGTTTGTTCTCCTCCAGCGACGTCCCTCCACCTCATGGAAGAATGCCCATTATTACACGTGTGGCGTTACTGTTGACTACACCAGCGATCCTGAGTCACGTTGCCAATTCAATTCAAAGTTGAGCTATGGACAGTTTTATAGTGCAATCTTCCTTTCAGCTTCTGCGCCCATTATATACTACAGGACATGGTTGGGGTAGATTTTAATTTGTCGTGCATGGGTCTCCTCAAGATCGAGTTTTCATAGAACTGTTTTTTTCTCCCTCTCTTGGTTTTTGCACAACACACATTCTGCCTCACGTTGCTTGAGTTTTGTGATGAATGAAGCATCTGAAGTTGTTAATTGCTCCTCCTGCAGAGAGGGAGGTAGGGAGGGGGGGGGGGGAAGAGACATTTATATTCCCACTTTCCTCCTCTCTTCCAGGTTGTAGCTCTTCTGCTAAAGGAGAGCAAGGCCATGTGGTTTAGACTTCCACGTGGTTGCTCTCCCTGATCACAGCACAGGTCAAGCTGGTGTATTGAACTGTCGATCTCACGAGGATGCCTTCGATTCATTCCCGATTTCATCCGTACAAATTAAAGCTGAAGAAAAATTGATAAGACAATCCCTGGCTATAATGGAGGAATAAACTCAATGACGATTTACTTCGGCTTCATTCTATTGTATTACAATTTGCCATAGAGTTAAAATCATCACAGTCCCTGTTGATAAGACTAGCAACATTCCAGGACTTTATGAAAAATGTTTGAATGGTTCGGATATTTGGAGTGGTGGGGTGGGGAGGACATTTTTAATTCATGTCCAGTTTTTAATTTTTTTCTGAAGATCAACACGTTCAATCTAAAATATTAAGGTTCACTTTGTCTTAGGTGATGCGTAGTGTTCACAATTGGAAGTGAAGCTGCGTAGTGAGTTACTGGTTTAAATTCTGTTCATCCTATTAAACTTGCTCAATAGTCTGAAACAAGACCATTTTTTGTGTGTTGCAGGACCTTGGTTTTGCTTTGAGCTGATGTGGGTGGGTCTTGTTGGATTCAGTTTTTTAAAAAAAAATCAATCATAATTTGGAGCTTTAACATTCTACAGAGCTTTGTGATGTGACAATGCTGTAAATTATAATAAACTTTTTAAAGAAGCTACAGCTGTTGAATTTTTGCTGTGTTGCCATCTCTCGCGATGTAATGTGGCTGAAAACTTGTATGGAACCACTTTAATCTGCTCAAACGACAAACAAATGTTTNAAAAAGCTTCAATCAAAATGTTTTAATAATTCTGGGTACAGCAGTAGAGTAAACACAAACAGCTCTGTTCCTGAGTAGAATTGATGGAGTACCACAAATAAAATCCACATTTTTCATTTGTAAATGAGCATTGCACCCATAGAATCTTTTAAAATTGAAACTGCTTTACAACTAAGGGATTCTGCAAATTACATGATTTTTAACAAGAGTCTTTTGAGGGTGAGGCTTCAAGTGGCCAACATACACTTCCATTACATTAGTGCTCTCTCCAGCCTATCTGGAGTTTTATTACCCGTTTGGTTTTGAAGTAGGCAAAGAATCCTCTATGTACTCTTGTGAAAAGAATGCGTATTCTCAGCTTCCCGTAACAGATTTCTACAGAACTCAACNTTTTTAAGGAAAGAATACAAAACACACACATACACCAGAAAAGGACTTCAATGTTAAGCGTTCATCGTATAACTGTGGCTCTGCGTTTGAGTTGTACGACTACAACTCACACACTATATTGCATAGCGAGCTTTCTCTAACTGGCATTGAGGATTTGGATGAGAAAGCCTCCAAAAAGATACTTGCATAGATTTAAAATGTGCTAATTCATAGCATGGAACACACAGGAATGAGATTATCTGGAAGGAACTAGTTTCAAAGTTTTGGTCAAGTATAGAAATGAGACATTCCAGTGAAGGGGATTGAATGGATTTGAAAAGATCCTCATAAAAGTGTAGCATATCACCCTGCCCTAGAATCTCTGCTCTTTTCAGTCTAGGTTTCAATGACTAATGTAATATGAAAATGTTGTTACAATTACAATCAGATACAATGGGTATATCTTTTCCTGTTTACACCTAGAGTCGTAGATTGAAGTCTTCATAATCAAGAATTAACCTTGCTTAATCTTATCATATTTTAATAAATTGATTCTGCGCCATGAGTTTGCCTTTTTGGCACAAAGCAAAACTTGGAATGAAAATATAGAGCATTTTATTGTTTATTATCGCAGTTTCTTTTTCCCCAATTGGGTCACCCTACACCAAGGACTGACAGGGTGGGCAACCTAATTCTTTTAAAACAGGCTGTGAAGAGGTAGTTGTTAAATAACAGTGACAGCTGAGGACTGAGACGTGAGTTGTGGCTATTTGGGTTATTTGGATGAAGACAATCGATGATGGAATTCATGCCTGCCGTCGATTTGCATATGAAAGTTCCCACGTAACCTAAAATGAGGGTCTGCTAAAACCTCTGCTAGAGGTAAATTTGTTCTGACATCTCTACCTTTTTTTTTGCAAGAAACTAGATTGAGATATCAATTCATTTCATGTGGCTTCCTCACATTGGTCAAAAAGGGGAGATTTATCTCACAACTATGATGGATTTGATTTCCAAAGGTTGTACCAATTGTGGCTGTGTCTGATTCGTGACTCCCCCACAAACCTGGACTGATGCTAAACTGACTCACAGTTCTACAAGTCTGTGTACCTCCATCTGTTGATCTGTCCCATTGCACAATGGCTGTTGCAAGATACTCTCAACTATGGAGCACCTTCAATTGCTCTTTGCAAGTTGGAATATGTTGGATCCTACCTATATTCTTTGTTATTCCTCACTCTGACAAAGAAGGAGAGCAAAGCTGAGCACTACTACTGATATCAGAAAGTAGGATGCATGGGGAATAGGCTGCCAGGCACACGGATGCATAATTTCTGATAGGGAGGCAGAATAAGATATTGAGTGAACTGAGCTGAATAAAGAAAGGGATAAAAGCAAGAAAAAAAAACAATTGTTCTGTTGGTCAAGTTGTCCACCCATGATATTCTAGAAAATATGGGCTATTATTGAGCTCTAGCAGAGATTTGGATTAACGTTTTGCCTATTATAGTTAGCAGGTTTTTGAACCTATGCTTCCCACAAAACATCTCAATCCTTTAAAGAATCTGTATAGGATTTAACACAGAATGTTGCTCAAACAATAAGCTGATTAAAGGTTTCTACTACTCTCAAATAATTCAAACCATTGCTGTAAACGGGGTTAATAGAAATCAATATGAAAACATCACTCTTTTTCAGTAACTTGGGGTGAAGTGGGGTGGGGGGGTGTAAATAGAGCTCAGGAAAATCAAACTAGAGGATCAACAATTGTAATTATTTCTGGTCTTAAAGACCCGAGAACTTCCATGTCTGAACACCAGTTTTCCCCTTTTGCTGGCAAGATCACGTAAACAACAGTGTCAATTTTAGGTACAAGGATAGCCATTACTTCTTCCATCAAATGAAATAAACGGATTCCTTTTCATTCCATTAGTAGGTTTACAATTAGGTGAGACTAATGAGATAGAACCAGCTGGTATAAGGCTAGGTTGACTCAAATGTGTTGAAAAGAGCTTAGCTCAATGCTTTTAAGATATAAAAGATGAGAGGAGATGAAACCAGATGAGCTTCTTGTATTCTGCTTGGTTCGATGCAATATTTTCTGTTACAGCACTTGACATAATAAAAAAAAGGCCATTTGAACAACTCAATGTATGGATCTGTAGCTAATCCATGGAATATCTGATGTTCTTTGATACTGGCCTCGAACAGTCTAAATAGCCAGCTGTGATTTCTGGACTTCTGGCTGATTGCTCCCCCAAAAAAAGGATTTGGGTTGTTCCTTTGTGGCTAGAAGCCGGTATTTTTTGCTGCTGATGATATATGGGTTTGCTTTGTGGGGCTGAATATTGGGGAGATCTCCTTCTTGGAGTTGGATGTCCTTCTGCAAGCTCTTCTGGACAGCCAGGTACCTCATTTGCCGATTTTGTTTGTAAATCCTAATTCTCTCTTGTTCTGCCACGGGGTCTTCAAGAATCCCATCCCAACGTAGACTTTCGTTCAAGGAGCTTGCAAGCTGGTCTACAGAAGAGGAGGAAGAAATCACTTGCGCCTCGTCTCCACCAACTTTACTGCTGGTATCTGTAGCCTTTAAACATTGCTTAGTATTTCCTTGGCGTGTTTCATTGGGCAGTAAAGCAGAATGAGAATGATGTTTGTTGATTTTGCCATGGTGTTTATCTGTTAGAAAGATAAATAATGTTAGGAGCCAGTCAACAGGCACTGCTTATGAGTAGACAATGAGGTTAAGAGGAGTTGGGCTGATTTTCAAACAGACAAGGTAGGTTTTTTATCAGCAAATTAAATAAATTGCTATCAGTTCATTTCACCTTTTCCAAACAGATGGGATTATTTTCACTGAGCGTTGGCATGACTATAATCAAAGGGAGTTTTCTTACTTTCCATTCTAGTGTTATGTGTATTGCTTCTGTTGATCGTTGCCACATCTACTTTCAAAACATTAAAGGAATGAAACACTTAATGAAGGTGCACAGGAATTATTTGCTGGAGATGGTGGGGGTTGATAATATATTCATGAAGTAAAACAAAATGAGCTGAAGTCAAATCAGTGTATAGTGGGGTGCAGCACTCCTGTTTCAGCCCCATTATTTTTGAATCACATAATTCTCTAGGAAGGAGAGTCAGGAAGGAAAGTATGTGGGAATGACATACTTATACTGATCAATATTCAATTTGCTGCTGATCGTGAATAAATCTCCAAATCTGAACTGATTACTGTTAGAAAATCAGCAACATATTGTATAACATTGTAAAACGTTCAGCTTCTGCTCCCATTCTAAAAAGCATTTTTTTCCGACTTAAACAGCTCTTCATCACACATTGTTCCCTGCCTAACGGGGCAGACACATTTCAGTACCTGCTGCCAAGTGTCTGCCATTGATACTCTTGAAATGACCTCCTTGAATGATTCATCTCATTATTTTCCCTCTGCATTGAGATGGTTGAAATTAGGATCTAGATAGGGGGTGAATTTGAATCCTACCACTGCTTGCTGCTGATTCATTTAGTCCTCAACATTAAACTATTTCTTTAGACTACAAAGATTTCCACTTCCTTCCTCAACTGAAATGAAAGCCAGGCAAACAAACTACCCTGAGGCTTCTGCTAATGCTACTCTTGAGTCCATCACAAGGAGATACTGTAGTGTAGTGTGGATTGATTACTCTCCAATTTTCCCTCCATATGCAACATATGCATATGCAACACCAATGATAGTAATTCAAGACTGACACCACCACAGCTATTTATGGATAGAGATTGCCACCAGCTGGTCTTCCAGCTAAACTACAGTGAAAATACTGTAATACCAATCCAATATAACTAGCACATATCAATTTAACCAAACAAAGTTGTCATGGTGTTAATTCTGCCGCTGATCTTCTTACCTATACACTAAAAAGACACAATGCAGCATATCAGTGCCTTAAAGGAAGTTAATTTAAATTGTAGTAATGCATTTCTCTCACCCATTAACATGTTTATCTTTTCAAAGTAGAAGTTAGAAGAAAGGGGCATGAAAACTGCTGCTTTGTGTGGAACTTTCTCCAATGCAACATAATTTTGTGATATCAGCGAACAGAATTTAATTATTTAGGTTTTGTCCACACTTTAGTCGTTTCTGAATTGTGAATCTAAGTAATTTCCTTTGCAAATTACAGCTTTTGCCATAGGTCTTCCCCACAAAAGGGAGTAAGCAAATTGAATTGATGTAACAGAAGCTGAATAAATTGAATAGCCTACCACTGCAATGAAATGGAAAGTCAAACATTCATACAATACTGAAGTGCAAGCCAGACAGTAGACGTGTTCTGCTGGTTCCAGTATAACTAGATAACTCTAGATAGTTTATAGATAATGCTAACATAATTCCAGCCACAAAAGCCACCTTGTTTCGGAGTTTCAGTGGGGCACCGTGTCACAACGTGAGTGAATTCGCCGTCACATTCTCGCTCCGTCGGCACTTTTTTTAAAAAAAACATATTTTTCAAAACAAACTATTTTTGTAATAACACGAATTGCACAGTTGACAACACTATGCAGCGGATCCTACGAGGAAAGCGCTTCGAGATGTTCTTCCGACACGAAAGACCGTAATACTAAATCCAAGTGTTATCATAACGAACCCCAAAGTGACTGTTGTTTATCAAGAAGCGCGTAAAACAACAACAACAACAACGCGGCTTCCAAAATATAACCGAATTTAAGACGTTTCCACAACGTACAGCGAGCACCGGGTGATGTTTCGGGCCCCACCGGCACTTCCACCCGCTTTGTTTTTGCGGGTTGTTGTCACGACGCGTTTAAAAATTGGCGTCAACTGAAACCGTGAGACATTTGCAATTGTTTTTTAAACCAATAAAAATAAAATAAAATAAAACAAAAAACACGAACACCCCTACCTACCTAAACTCGTCTCGTCGGACGTTGATGGCGTGCTGGAAGAATTACCTCTCTTTTTGCGGGCGGTGCCCAAAGTTTTCTTCTCTTTCTTCTTCTTCCTCTTCTTCTTGTCTGCCGCACCGCCGGCTGCGGGGTTGGGATTTGCGGATGACTTGACCGCACGTTTGCTGGACGCTTTGCGGTCCATAACACCCCACCCTCACCCTCAGCCTCTGAAATCCCCTACAACCCTTAACCTCTGAGCCTGGGCGTCAGTTCTTTTTTTGGGTACACGAACCACATGTTCCCTATGATCTTAAATCAGCATCTTTTCCACCCAAAATGCCCCAGAAATACCTATTTTTCTCAACCCCTTTTTGCCACCCACCCACCCCCACCACCTCTCCTCTCAGTGAAGGATATTTCTCCTTTCTTTCTGCCCCTTTTTTTTTAAAACACTGTGTGTGTGTGAAAAAAAAGTTTGGACAGCAGCGGCCAAAACAAATTAATTTTCGGTGGTGTTTTTTTTTAACTTCTGAGCGAAACTTCCAAGACGTTGGGGATTTGGGGATGTGTGTGTGTGGGGGGTGGGGGGGGGAGAGAGGGGGGTTGGGGGGGGGGGGAGTGTGTCTGTGGAGTGTTGGGGGTTGGATCAATCTTGGCCTCTCTTCACTTTATAAGTCTTTGGGGGATATGTTCCCCCCTTTTCACCACCGACCCCCCGACCCCGCTCGATGCCTCTTTAGATTAATGGCCTCTCTACTCTCTTCTGTGTTTCTCCTCAGCTTCAAGCGACACCGTGACGTGCAAACCCATGTCCACACCGGCCTCCTCTCCCCTCCTCTCCCGAACTTCTTCTCTTCTCTTCCCTTCAACACCTCTCCTGTCCGTTCTTTTGACTTAAAATATCGATTTTTCCCTTCCTTCCTTCTTTCCCTTTTTTTCCCCCCTTTCCTTCTTCCTTCCTTCCCTCCCTCCTTTTCTTCTCTCTCTCTCTCTCTCTCCTTCCTTCCTTTTTTTCCTTTCCTTCTTCCTTCCTTCCCTTCTTTTCTTCTCTCTCTCTCTCCTTCCTTCCTTTTTTCCTTTCCTTCCTTCCCTTCCCTCCCTCCCTCCTTTCTTCTCTCCCTCCTTCCTTCCTCGTTTCTTTTCCTTCCTTCCTTCCTCCTTTCTTTTCTTCTTCTCTCTCCCTCCTTCCTTCCTTCCTTCTGCTCCTTCTCTCCCTGTATTGGGTTCCTCTCCCCCTCACACAGTTGTGTGTTGTGTTGTGTGTGAATTCCTCACAGGAGCAGCGAGTCGCGCCTTCTCTCCGCCTCCTTCCCGCGGCCACGTTGCCATGGCGACACCGCCAAACCGCCCTCCCGGTCGGTGGGTCCGCCTCCGCCTGGACAAAGTAGTTCACGCCGCCACCTTTTACTATTTTTTTTCACCACAAGAAAGAAATAAAAAAATCGTTTTGACACCGTAAACCGGTCGCGATCTCTCTATCACCGTGAAGAACAACCACTGCTCCCGGTTCCTTGTTTTTTTTTAAAAAAAATTAAATTAAAAAAAAAGTTCCTCTCAGTCGCCGAACCGTGATCGGCGGGTTGTGCCGATCCACGCGCCGCCTTTTTTTCCCCCAAAAAGTTCGCTTTTTAATAATATACATTTACACACAATAACGGCTATTAACAATTATCTATTTAGTGTTAATCAGTATTTGTGTTTGTTTGTTTGTTTGTTTATTTATTCGATACAATCATTTAACACGGTTATTCGATGAATTTTCTTCAATTTTAATAATTTTTATTTCGTCATTTCGTTTTATTTTTTAATTTAAAATAAATATTTTTGTGGTTGTTAACTCTTTGTTCTCGTTGATGATTTTTTTGGGGGGGAAAAAAATTACTTGGGGCCGCGGAGAGAAAGAGAGAGAGAATATAACACGTCACCGTCTGAACAGAAAAGCGTCGGATTCCTCCGGGTGGTGATGGAGGGAGTAACAGTGAGTGAGAGACAGAGACACGTCGGTCGGTGGGGGGGGAACTTTTCAACCCGGAACGAATGTGCGGCACCTCGGCTGTGGTGGGGGACGCTTATTACAGCCGGACTGAGAGGAGCTGCTGGATCCGCGCTCCGGAGGCGAACCCGAGGCCTCAGGCCCTCAGGCCCCCAGGCTCAGAGCCCCAGGCTCAGGCCCCCAGGCTCAGAGCCCCAGGCTCAGGCCCCCAGGCTCAGAGCCCCAGGCTCAGGCCTCCAGGCTCAGGCCCCAGGCTCAGGCCTCCAGGCTCAGGCCCCAGGCTCAGGCGCCCAGGCTCAGGCCTCAGGCTCAGACCCCAGGCCACGGCCATGACCGGACAGCCGGATGTGTTTGAGATCAGCGACGCTGAGCTCCTGGAGCTGGATTTGGAGCAGCTGTGCGGCCCGAAGCCCCGGGGCTGTCACACCCAACCGCAGACTGACGGAGGTCTGGGCAACTGTCTTGAGTCAGCGCTTCGAGGCGTCTCAGCGACGTGATCAATAAGGCGCTGCGTCAAATGCATATTAATAATAATAATGCACAGTTCAGCGAAAAAAAACCTTTCTCTCCTCCCCAACCCCTCCTCTCCCCCCTCCCCAAGCCCTCCTCTCCCCCCTCCCCAAGCCCTCTCTCCTCTCTCCCCTCCCAAGCCCTCTCTCCTCTCTCCCCTCCCAACCCCTCCTCTCCCCCTCCTAACCCCTCCTCTCCCCCCTCCCCAACCCTCCTCTCTCCCCTCCCAACCCCTCCTCTCCCCCTCCGCAACCCTCCTCCCCCCTCCCCAACCTGCACATAAAAAGTTGTCCTACGCGTAAAATTCTGTTTATTTGCACATACAAATAAATACCCACCAAATGGTGTGTGTGTTGGTATATCTGCCGAGGAGGGGAAGCGTCACTGGATAGGAATTGGGAGATCTGATTTATTTCCTACAAACTCCTCACCTCCACCCAAATCAGTGAACCCTATTGCGATAGCCAATTACGCTGCCTCCCGCACCTGAGACAACAAGAACAACAACAATAAAATTACATTTAAGATCAGCTAAATCAGTGCAGACTGGGATGCAAACTGACAACACCTTGCATTTATATAGCGCCTTTCATACAGGATAGCGTCTCCCAACCTGGTCTGGAGTACGGGAGCATTACTGGATCGTTTGGCGTTGCTCTTAACTGTTTAAAATCCAAATGTCATAAGATTATTAAGGACATACAGCACTTTATTCTTTTAATGTTAGATCTCATCTAGTTATAGAAATATAGTTTAGATTTGAAAGTCAGTTATGTTAGAATTCAGCATGCAACCTGGTTTTTAAAAAAATGTATGAAGTCTGTATTTCCTAAATTCTCAGGAAAACCTGAACCGAGTGATGAAGACAATGATCGCACACCAGTCAAGTCTGAGCCTTGCTGTAGCAACCAAGAGACAGCTGCACTGACAAGCAGGTAGCTGAGCCGCTGCTGAGTGTATCTGACCTCCACCTGGTAATGCACGGAGGGATTGGCTGACTTTTGACATTAAATAATTAAATATGGATCGAGTTAAATTTGTTTAATGCCAGATAGGAATGAGAAACTAATGCTTTCACTACCTATAAGGGAATCAATTTTGTTTACTAAAATATGAAGGAAAACTCAGTTGTATTCAAATAAACAGTAAGTTCTTAGTCAATAGTGGGTGTTGCTGTGTTTTGAACTCATTTGGAAATACAGTCGTTGAATTGAAACTCCATGTAAAATGATTTATGTAAAATGCACAATTGCTGATCTTAATATTTGCTTATGCTGTGAGGTTGAATTCCTATTATATATTCATTTTTTTTCTGATGCCCTCACACAAATCAATATGAAATAACGGGGTGGGGAAAAACTTGTTTCTTGAACTTTATTTTAACTTTTTTGAACTTTGTCTTATCTTTCCGGATAATGGTAACCTTTGGATTTCTTTGGGAAATCAGCAATGTGTTGGAATGTGCAGTGGTCCTGGGAAGTCTTGAGCTTCTCATCTAAGTGACAATTTGCCATGTGAGTGCAGACGGTAGTGTTGATAGGCTGTTTGATTGAGAGAGGGGTTAACTGATATGGGCTGGGAGGTGTTAAAGCTGAGCCTATACACCCTGTCCTCATCTAAGGGGTAAATTCACACTGCCAGCAGCAGGTCATTGCATAATAGTTTGGAGTAAGAATACTGGCTGAAGATATGAAAGCAGAAGAAAGTATGTGAAATTAGTAGTTTTCAGAAGACAGTATCTAAAAGAGGTCAGGCCCAGGATCTTTCAGATCTGTATGGTTCTTTGCTGCATCATGTGGTGCATTTACTGTGCTCATCTGAGACACTTTCTGTAGAAGGAGACCCGATGGTGATGACCAGTGTTAGTCTTTTATGAATTTTCACCTCTGAATGTTTTTGGAATTCTTTGCATGCTTCAGTACTCGAAGAGTTAACTGTGGGATACTCTTCATCATAGGAAGGATGAACATCAATCCATCAATCTGTCACCTGAGCCCGGAGAGGCAAGTGGCCCAAACCCTGACTGCACAGTCGCTAAAAGACAAAAGCAGGACAAACGGACACCAATGGAGAAGTTTGGCCTAACTTACTTGAGTGTGACTCACTTAAGTAGACAGGTGTGGTGTGAGCAGCAAGTGGTTTATGGGATGGAAATGCCGCAGATTGAGAAGCTGCGAGCTGAGCTGCCAATTGTGAAAGCGGGGAGCAGCCTACACCTGGCAAGAGGTGATGCAGCGATTAATTTGTCAGTGAGGCTTGACATGCAACAATTTGTAATGAGATTTGTTATTAAAAATAACTGCCACTAGATCAAGCTAGGACTTGTTCTTGATGGTGTCTGCCTGTTGTGTAGGTACTCCTCAGAAAGGACAAAACAAAAATTTTCCAATCATCGAAGAAGAATTTTCCAGTAGCTTGCTTAGTATGCAATTCAATTCCTAGTTGCACACGATTAGCTTCAATGTTTTTATAGAGTGATTTCCCTTTCCCCATCCCAATGTATTTTGTTTTATGATGCAATAAAGCCGCATTGTTGAATAATGCTGGAGCTGAACTGCCATTTCTCAAAGAAGATCTTTTTCAGACTTCGAACAATCTGCCTAAAGGAATGGATCTCCCATGTTGATCTAGTTTGGTTTGCATGCACGTTGGTTAGTGTGACACTTTATCAAAGCTCTCTAGCGAAGGGTTTATCTGAAGGATGTCTTAATTTATGTCTGATTTGATGCATTGCAGAGTTGGAGGTCCATGACATTGTGGCAGTAAATGTAACAAGCCGGGAAGATAGTTGGGCCATTAAACTTCTTAATCTTCTCTCAGCGATTCAAGTCCTACAGACGGGTATGTAATGGCATGTGCAGAACAGGAATTTGGTTTTCTTCAAAACTCTACAGTTTACATGTAATAAGTGCAATATTATGCATTTTGTCAACACTCTACTTAGCTCCGACCTTCTCCTACCTTACTCCTCCACTTGGCCCCTCTTCTCAGCTAACTCAGGCTTGTTGCAGGTCCTTTGCCCTTTCCTCAGTACCTTCAGTGACCAAGTTCAGTTCCCAAACCCTTAACCTCTGGAACTCTCTCCCTCTATCCCTCCGTCTTGCCGCCCTTTCTGTCTTAAGTTCCATCTCAAATCCTCTTTGGATGTGCCTATGACCACCCCTGCCTTGCTCAACGTCCCAACTTGTAAAGCACTCTGAGATGTTACCTTGTGTGAAGGGCACTATGTAAATGCAAGTCGTAGTTTTTAAGATTATTAAAATAATTTATGGACTAATAAAGTTCCAGGATCAATCCTTGGAATCTTCTCCATTCGCTGACCTCAGCCAAGGAACAATGACAGCATCGCGATTCCATGTCTCCTTTACATTTGGCCTTTGGGTACTAACTCATGGGGGAAAAAAAGTTATAAAACAGCCCATTTGTTACGCCTTTAATATTATAAATGTCGTTGAGCTGTCCGTGGTATTCTAATGTTGTAATGTGTCTGTCTGTTTAGGGGGGATTGTGCGGGAGATGCCTGTATTTGGAGAGCTGGATGGCTTGTTTCTGGTTGGTATAATCGATGAGCTGCGTTATAATTCCAAGGGCGAACTTGAGCTGTGTGAATTCAAAACACGCAGCCAGCGATCATTCCCAGGTGCAGCCCAGAGGAAAAGCCATCACTTACAGGTAAGAGGGTGGGTAGAAGAGAATGCATAAGATTGGAAACTCCGTGGGCGCAGTACCAAAGGTTATTCATATGGAGCACTAAATTGGTAGTCTCGTTTAGGTATCAATCAGTTTCGCTCAATTGCTACCATTCTTGCCTCTGGATCAAAATGTTATGCGTTCAAGTCCTAAATCGGGACTTGGCATCACAGCCTAGACTGACACTAGTGCAGTAGGAGGGGACGATGACATCTGTTCAGCTGGATGTTAAGGATTCTTTTATACTGTTTGAAAAGAGAAGGGAATTTTCCCCTCCCCACCTCCTAGCCAATGTTCCTCCCGATTAATTCGTTTATGACCTTGCCGGATCTTTGTTATTATCATTTTTATTATAGCGGTCACTGCTTCACAGTATTTTAGTAGTATTTTTCTCAGTAGTATTTGATTTATGTTATAATATAATAGGCAATCCTTGCATTTGATATAGCGCCTTATCACGTCATTGAAATGTCTCAAAGCTCTTCACAGAATACACTGTAGTGTATTGACTGTAAGTGTAGTGACTGTATATAATAATAATAATCCTTGCACTTGATATAGCGCTTTTCACGTCGGGAGGACGTCCCAAAGCGCTTCACCGAAAACACTGTAAAATGAATTGACTGTATATTTGTGGGCGAACGCGGCAGCCAATGTCCCACAAACAGTCGTAGATTGAAAATGATCAATTTATTATTGTTTTTGGTTTTGGAGGGATTATTATTAGGCTCTTTGTGGAGTAAGGAAACTTGCCCAAGGTTTCGCCCTGACCTGCCTGGAATTGAACTCAGGTCTCTCGCTTGCAAAGCGAGTGCTCTAACCACTGAGCTACAGGACCTGACATAATTTTGTGGACGAAACACGGCAGGCCATTGCGGGCAGCGCGTCCCACAAACAGTCGTGAAATGAGTGGTCAAATTATTATCATTTTTTTTTGAAGGGATTATTACCCCAGTTGAGTAACTGAGTTTTTTGTGTGTAAATGTCCGGCCTAACAAATGATTGACAGGCAGCTCTGGTGCCTGACCCTCCATTCTGTCTGGTTAGGAGCCAGCATTGTAGTCTTCAGGCTAGCGAGGTGGATTTGTGTTCATTTCTTTTTGCTTCGAAGCCCTTGAAGAACAATTGCTGGCCAGCCCCACCTCCCACCAGCAAGTGGAATGAGTAGAAAGCAGACATTGCCGAATTTGGTGGAGTAAACCTATCACTTTAACACTTTAACTGTATGTTTATTGTCAAGTGACACCGAATGCTTGTCGTTATCAGGTCAGAGTGTACAAATGCCTGTTCGAGGCCATGATCCGAGGTGAGGTGGACAAGGGCATTCTCCTTCGCCATCTCCGCTTACGGACCGAGCAACCCTTTGGCTCAGAGGTTTCTGAGCACGCTGAGAAGATGGGATTCACTGTGCACACGTTTGGTGACCTACTGGATTTGGTGTTGTTGAATCTAACCTACTCGGAGATTCCCCAGATCGACACTCTGATGATAGAATACTGTTACCAGGCCGATAGATCTGCCATTGGAGCGGAGGCGGTGTGCTTCCAGGAGGAGTGGCTGCGAAGAGAACTGGCGAATTGCTTCTCCTTCTGGAAGGGGCAGAGGGAAGCCGAGGGGGTGGATATCGAAGAGGCGTGGAAGTGCTGCTCGTGTGACTTTGTTGACATCTGCGACTGGAGGCAGAGAAAAGCCGAAGAATTAACACAAAAATATAAAGCAATTCAAAGCAGAGGCAGACCTAAGTTACATTAAACATGCGTTTCTTCTATAGTTTCTCCTTGCAAGAAAGTCTAATCTTGATTAAAGCTACTGGAAATTCTCAGAAGAGCGGTTTTAAGTTGAGAGAAGCTCTTTTTATTGCCTAAACAGACTTCATCAGAATTATTTTTTAAGTTGCAGGCATTACGATAAACTACACGTTTGATCACTACTTCACAATGCAATAATAATAATTGCATTATTATTATGCAATTATTAGATTAATAATAATCTCTCTCTCTCCTTCCTTCCTTTTTTTCCTTTCCTTCTTCCTTCCTTCCCTTCTTTTCTTCTCTCTCTCTCCTTCCTTCCTTTTTTTCCTTTCCTTCTTCCTTCCTTCCCTTCTTTTCTTCTCTCTCTCCTTCCTTCCTTTTTTTCCTTTCCTTCTTCCCTCCCTCCCTCCCTTTCTTCTCTCCCTCCTTCCTTCCTCGTTTCTTTTCCTTCCTTCCTTCCTCCTTTCTTTTCTTCTTCTCTCTCCCTCCTTCCTTCCTTCCTTCTGCTCCTTCTCTCCCTGTATTGGGTTCCTCTCCCCCTCACACAGTTGTGTGTTGTGTTGTGTGTGAATTCCTCACAGGAGCAGCGAGTCGCGCCTTCTCTCCGCCTCCTTCCCGCGGCCACGTTGCCATGGCGACACCGCCAAACCGCCCTCCCGGTCGGTGGGTCCGCCTCCGCCTGGACAAAGTAGTTCACGCCGCCACCTTTTACTATTTTTTTTCACCACAAGAAAGAAATAAAAAAATCGTTTTGACACCGTAAACCGGTCGCGATCTCTCTATCACCGTGAAGAACAACCACTGCTCCCGGTTCCTTGTTTTTTTTTAAAAAAAATTAAATTAAAAAAAAAGTTCCTCTCAGTCGCCGAACCGTGATCGGCGGGTTGTGCCGATCCACGCGCCGCCTTTTTTTCCCCCAAAAAGTTCGCTTTTTAATAATATACATTTACACACAATAACGGCTATTAACAATTATCTATTTAGTGTTAATCAGTATTTGTGTTTGTTTGTTTGTTTATTTATTCGATACAATCATTTAACACGGTTATTCGATGAATTTTCTTTAATTTTAATAATTTTTATTTCGTCATTTCATTAAAAGAAATATTTTTGTGGTTGTTAACTCTTTGTTCTCGTTGATGATTTTTTTGGGGGGGAAAAAAATTACTTGGGGCCGCGGAGAGAAAGAGAGAGAGAATATAACACGTCACCGTCTGAACAGAAAAGCGTCGGATTCCTCCGGGTGGTGATGGAGGGGGTAACAGTGAGTGAGAGACAGAGACACGTCGGTCGGTGGGGGGGGAACTTTTCAACCCGGAACGAATGTGCGGCACCTCGGCTGTGGTGGGGGACGCTTATTACAGCCGGACTGAGAGGAGCTGCTGGATCCGCGCTCCGGAGGCGAACCCGAGGCCTCAGGCCCTCAGGCCCCCAGGCTCAGAGCCCCAGGCTCAGGCCCCCAGGCTCAGAGCCCCAGGCTCAGGTCCCAGGCTCAGGCCCCCAGGCTCAGGTCCCAGGCCCCAGGCTCAGACCCCAGGCCACGGCCATGACCGGACAGCCGGATGTGTTTGAGATCAGCGACGCTGAGCTCCTGGAGCTGGATTTGGAGCAGCTGTGCGGCCCGAAGCCCCGGGGCTGTCACACCCAACCGCAGACTGACGGAGGTCTGGGCAACTGTCTTGAGTCAGCGCTTCGAGGCGTCTCAGCGACGTGATCAATAAGGCGCTGCGTCAAATGCATATTAATAATAATAATGCACAGTTCAGCGAAAAAAAACCTTTCTCTCCTCCCCAACCCCTCCTCTCTCCCCTCCCCTCCCAACCCCTCCTCTCCCCCCTCCCCAAGCCCTCCTCTCCCCCTCCCCAAGCCCTCCTCTCCCCCCTCCCCAAGCCCTCCTCTCCCCCCTCCCCAACCCCTCCTCTCTCCCCTCCCCAAGCCCTCTCTCCTCTCTCCCCTCCCAACCCCTCCTCTCTCCCCTCCCAACCCCTCCTCTCCCCCCTCCTAACCCCTCCTCTCCCCCCTCCCCAACCCCTCCTCTCTCCCCTCCCAATCCCTCCTCTCTCCCCTCCCAACCCCTCCTCTCCCCCCTCCCCAACCCCTCCTCTCTCCCCTCCCAATCCCTCCTCTCTCCCCTCCCAACCCCTCCTCTCCCCCCTCCCCAACCCCTCCTCTCTCCCCTCCCAATCCCTCTCCCCCCTCCCAACCCCTCCTCTCCCCCCTCCCCAACCTGCACATAAAAAGTTGTCCTACGCGTAAAATTCTGTTTATTTGCACATACAAATAAATACCCACCAAATGGTGTGTGTGTTGGTATATCTGCCGAGGAGGGGAAGCGTCACTGGATAGGAATTGGGAGATCTGATTTATTTCCTACAAACTCCTCACCTCCACCCAAATCAGTGAACCCAATTGCGATGGCCAATTACGCTGCCTCCCGCACCTGAGACAACAAGAACAACAACAATAAAATTGCATTTAAGATCAGCTAAATCAGTGCAGACTGGGATGCAAACTGACAACGCCTTGCATTTATATAGCGCCTTTCATACAGGATAGCGTCTCCCAACCTGGTCTGGAGTACGGGAGCATTACTGGATCGTTTGGCGTTGCTCTTAACTGTTTAAAATCCAAATGTCATAAGATTATTAAGGACATACAGCACTTTATTCTTTTCATGTTAGATCTCATCTAGTTATAGAAATATAGTTTAGATTTGAAAGTCAGTTATGTTAGAATTCACCATGCAACCTGTTTTTTAGAAAAATGTATGAAGTCTGTATTTCCTAAATTCTCAGGAAAACCTGAACCGAGTGATGAAGACAATGATCGCACACCAGTCAAGTCTGAGCCTTGCTGTAGCAACCAAGAGACAGCTGCACTGACAAGCAGGTAGCTGAGCCGCTGCTGAGTGTATCTGACCTCCACCTTGTAATGCACGGAGGGATTGGCTGACTTTTGACATTAAATAATTAAATATGGATCGAGTTAAATTTGTTTAATGCCAGGTAGGAATGAGAAACTAATGCATGCTTTCACTACCTATAAGGGAATCAATTTTGTTTACTAAAATATGAAGGAAAACTCAGTTGTATTCAAATAAACAGTAAGTTCTTAGTCAATAGTGGGTGTTGCTGTGTTTTGAACTCATTTGGAAATACAGTCGTTGAATTGAAACTCCATATAAAATGATTTATGTAAAATGCACAATTGCTGATCTTAATATTTGCTTATGCTGTGAGGTTGAATTCCTATTATATATTCATTTTTTTTCTGATGCCCTCACACAAATCAATATGAAATAACGGGGTGGGGAAAAACTTGTTTCTTGAACTTTATTTTAACTTTTTTGAACTTTGTCTTATCTTTCCGGATAATGGTAACCTTTGGATTTCTTTGGGAAATCAGCAATATGTTGGAATGTGCAGTGGTCCTGGGAAGTCTTGAGCTTCTCATCTAAGTGACAATTTGCCATGTGAGTGCAGACGGTAGTGTTGATAGGCTGTTTGATTGAGAGAGGGGTTAACTGATATGGGCTGGGAGGTGTTAAAGCTGAGCCTATACACCCTGTCCTCATCTAAGGGGTAAATTCACACTGCCAGCAGCAGGTCATTGCATAATAGTTTGGAGTAAGAATACTGGCTGAAGATATGAAAGCAGAAGAAAGTATGTGAAATTAGTAGTTTTCAGAAGACAGTATCTAAAAGAGGTCAGGCCCAGGATCTTTCAGATCTGTATGGTTCTTTGCTGCATCATGTGGTGCATTTACTGTGCTCATCTGAGACACTTTCTGTAGAAGGAGACCCGATGGTGATGACCAGTGTTAGTCTTTTATGAATTTTCACCTCTGAATGTTTTTGGAATTCTTTGCATGCTTCAGTACTCGAAGAGTTAACTGTGGGATACTCTTCATCATAGGAAGGATGAACATCAATCCATCAATCTGTCACCTGAGCCCGGAGAGGCAAGTGGCCCAAACCCTGACTGCACAGTCGCTAAAAGACAAAAGCAGGACAAACGGACACCAATGGAGAAGTTTGGCCTAACTTACTTGAGTGTGACTCACTTAAGTAGACAGGTGTGGTGTGAGCAGCAAGTGGTTTATGGGATGGAAATGCCGCAGATTGAGAAGCTGCGAGCTGAGCTGCCAATTGTGAAAGCGGGGAGCAGCCTACACCTGGCAAGAGGTGATGCAGCGATTAATTTGTCAGTGAGGCTTGACATGCAACAATTTGTAATGAGATTTGTTATTAAAAATAACTGCCACTAGATCAAGCTAGGACTTGTTCTTGATGGTGTCTGCCTGTTGTGTAGGTACTCCTCAGAAAGGACAAAACAAAAATTTTCCAATCATCGAAGAAGAATTTTCCAGTAGCTTGCTTAGTATGCAATTCAATTCCTAGTTGCACACGATTAGCTTCAATGTTTTTATAGAGTGATTTCCCTTTCCCCATCCCAATGTATTTTGTTTTATGATGCAATAAAGCCGCATTGTTGAATAATGCTGGAGCTGAACTGCCATTTCTCAAAGAAGATCTTTTTCAGACTTCGAACAATCTGCCTAAAGGAATGGATCTCCCATGTTGATCTAGTTTGGTTTGCATGCACGTTGGTTAGTGTGACACTTTATCAAAGCTCTCTAGCGAAGGGTTTATCTGAAGGATGTCTTAATTTATGTCTGATTTGATGCATTGCAGAGTTGGAGGTCCATGACATTGTGGCAGTAAATGTAACAAGCCGGGAAGATAGTTGGGCCATTAAACTTCTTAATCTTCTCTCAGCGATTCAAGTCCTACAGACGGGTATGTAATGGCATGTGCAGAACAGGAATTTGGTTTTCTTCAAAACTCTACAGTTTACATGTAATAAGTGCAATATTATGCATTTTGTCAACACTCTACTTAGCTCCGACCTTCTCCTACCTTACTCCTCCACTTGGCCCCTCTTCTCAGCTAACTCAGGCTTGTTGCAGGTCCTTTGCCCTTTCCTCAGTACCTTCAGTGACCAAGTTCAGTTCCCAAACCCTTAACCTCTGGAACTCTCTCCCTCTATCCCTCCGTCTTGCCGCCCTTTCTGTCTTAAGTTCCATCTCAAATCCTCTTTGGATGTGCCTATGACCACCCCTGCCTTGCTCAACGTCCCAACTTGTAAAGCACTCTGAGATGTTACCTTGTGTGAAGGGCACTATGTAAATGCAAGTCGTAGTTTTTAAGATTATTAAAATAATTTATGGACTAATAAAGTTCCAGGATCAATCCTTGGAATCTTCTCCATTCGCTGACCTCAGCCAAGGAACAATGACAGCATCGCGATTCCATGTCTCCTTTACATTTGGCCTTTGGGTACTAAGTCATGGGGGAAAAAAAGTTATAAAACAGCCCATTTGTTACGCCTTTAATATTATAAATGTCGTTGAGCTGTCCGTGGTATTCTAATGTTGTAATGTGTCTGTCTGTTTAGGGGGGATTGTGCGGGAGATGCCTGTATTTGGAGAGCTGGATGGCTTGTTTCTGGTTGGTATAATCGATGAGCTGCGTTATAATTCCAAGGGCGAACTTGAGCTGTGTGAATTCAAAACACGCAGCCAGCGATCATTCCCAGGTGCAGCCCAGAGGAAAAGCCATCACTTACAGGTAAGAGGGTGGGTAGAAGAGAATGCATAAGATTGGAAACTCCGTGGGCGCAGTACCAAAGGTTATTCATATGGAGCACTAAATTGGTAGTCTCGTTTAGGTATCAATCAGTTTGGCTCAATTGCTACCATTCTTGCCTCTGGATCAAAATGTTATGCGTTCAAGTCCTAAATCGGGACTTGGCATCACAGCCTAGACTGATACTAGTGCAGTAGTAGGGGACGATGACATCTGTTCAGCTGGATGTTAAGGATTCTTTTACACTGTTTGAAAAGAGAAGGGAATTTTCCCCTCCCCACCTCCTAGCCAATGTTCCTCCCGATTAATTCGTTTATGACCTTGCCGGATCTTTGTTATTATCATTTTTATTATAGCGGTCACTGCTTCACAGTATTTTAGTAGTATTTTTCTCAGTAGTATTTGATTTATGTTGTGTTATAATATAATAGGCAATCTTTGGATTTGATATAGCGCCTTATCACGTCATTGAAATGTCTCAAAGCGCTTCACAGAATACACTGTAGTGTATTGACTGTAAGTGTAGTGACTGTATATAATAATAATCCTTGCACTTGATATAGCGCTTTTCACGTCGGGAGGACGTCCCAAAGCGCTTCACAGAACACACTGTAAAGTGAATTGACTGTGTATTTGTGGGCGAACGCGGCAGCCAATTGCGCACAGCAATGTCCCACAAACAGTCGTAGATTGAAAATGACCAATTTATTATTGTTTTTGGTTTTGGAGGGATTATTATTAGGCTCTGTGTGGAGTAAGGAAACTTGCCCAAGGTTTCGCCCTCTGCCTGGAATTGAACTCAGGTCTCTCGCTTGGAAAGCGAGTGCTCTAACCACTGAGCTACAGGACTCCACATAATTTTGTGGACGAAACACGGCAGGCCATTGCGGGCAGCAGCGTCACACAAACAGTCGTGAAATGAGTGGCCAAATTATTATCATCATTTTTTTTTGAAGGGATTATTACCCCAGTTGAGTAACTGAGTTTTTTGTGTGTAAATGTCCGGCCTAACCAATGATTGACAGGCAGCTCTGGTGCCTGACCCTTCATTCTGTCTGGTTAGGAGCCAGCATTGTAGTCTTCAGGCTAGCGAGGTGGATTTGTGTTCATTTCTTTTTGCTTCGAAGCCCTTGTAGAACAATTGCTGGCCAGCCCCACCTCCCACCAGCAAGTGGAATGAATAGAAAGCAGACATTGCCGAATTTGGTGGAGTAAACCTATCACTTTAACACTTTAACTGAATGTTTATTGTCAAGTGACACCGAATGCTTGTCGTTATCAGGTCAGAGTGTACAAATGCCTGTTCGAGGCCATGATCCGAGGTGAGGTGGACAAGGGCATTCTCCTTCGCCATCTCCGCTTACGGACCGAGCAACCCTTTGGCTCAGAGGTTTCTGAGCACGCTGAGAAGATGGGATTCACTGTGCACACGTTTGGTGACCTACTGGATTTGGTGTTGTTGAATCTAACCTACTCGGAGATTCCCCAGATCGACACTCTGATGATAGAATACTGTTACCAGGCCGATAGATCTGCCATTGGAGCGGAGGCGGTGTGCTTCCAGGAGGAATGGCTGCGAAGAGAACTGGCGAATTGCTTCTCCTTCTGGAAGGGGCAGAGGGAAGCCGAGGGGGTGGATATCGAAGAGGCGTGGAAGTGCTGCTCGTGTGACTTTGTTGACATCTGCGACTGGAGGCAGAGAAAAGCCGAAGAATTAACACAAAAATATAAAGCAATTCAAAGCAGAGGCAGACCTAAGTTACATTAAACATGCGTTTCTTCTATAGTTTCTCCTTGCAAGAAAGTCTAATCTTGATTAAAGCTACTGGAAATTCTCAGAAGAGCGGTTTTAAGTTGAGAGAAGCTCTTTTTATTGCCTAAACAGACTTCATCAGAATTATTTTTTAAGTTGCAGGCATTACGATAAACTACAAGTTTGATCACTACTTCACAATGCAATAATAATAATAATAATTAATGCAGCACCTTATAACGTCGTTGAGACATCGCAAACCACTTTGCAGGCTTTCGCAGTGAAATGTAGTGAATGTATACTTGAAGGCAAACTGAGTTTTATATCCCATACAGGACAATTAATGGACATCTCAACATGGGAATATTGGATTGAATGGAATTACTGAGCTACAGCGTCAATCCTTGTATGCTTTAATTGGACATATTGCAAAATCTACGTCAATTTTCAGTTGAATGTATGTGGAATGTGTTTTAGAAGAATGTTTAAAAGGTCCTTCCAGTCAAAGTAGTAGTGCTATGTATGTATTCACATTGGGCACTAGCGCTTAATTCTATGGCACTGAGGAACCAGAGTACAATATCCTGCGTTCTGCTAATTTTCCAATCCCAGCTGACTCACAGGGGAAGGGACATTTGAGTTGTGGGTCTACTATCCTGTGTCTTTAGAATAGGTTTGAAAGGTGGTCACCTGCTGGAATAAACAATAAAGTGGAGAGAAAATCCATCCTGGTCTAGATTTGCTTTTTAATGTAGCATTTCAGAGCATCCAGAATCTGGCAATACAGCCTTAATTTTGAAACTGGTTTTCTGTAAGTTTTTTTAAAAGAATTCCCCCCAAAAAAAAAACTTCAAAGTTGAGACCGAATATTCAATAATTCGCCAAATTCTGGACCGCCTAAGACGCAATGCAGTGAATCTAGACACAGGTGGAATTTCCCCCGGAAGCATCTATTAGTAAAAAAAAACCTTTTCTATTTTTAAAGCATTGAGCAATTTTTTTAATAAAGTTAACATTAATCCATGTGAAACAATTTTAACCACTCTATACACTACCTTTCTTTGATGTATTATGTTAAAATTATTTTAATGTCATTTTAAAGGAAAATGTCGATGTGTTTTATATTTATTTTCAATAAATAAAACTTGTGTTCTCTTGTGATTTAGGTACAAAGTGAGTGCTCATTTGAAGCGCAGACTCCCGTTCACAAAAGTATTTTAAAAACACACACGCAAAGTCGTTTGATGTGTCAATAAGGACCCTTTGAGATCTTATTGCAAAGTTCTGCACTTTTGTAATATTGCAGACAGACTGAACTGAAATGCAGCAGCCAATTACACACAGCAGTGTCCCACAAACAGTCGTGGATTGAGTGACCAAATTATTTTTTTTGAAGGAATTATTGATGGGCTGAGTGCTGAGTCATTTTCCAAGAAAAATACATTACAAATTTACATTTGTATAGCGCCTTTCACATTGGGAGGTATCAGTCAGTATTTTTAGTGCAAGCGAAATTCTGGTGGACCAACAAATGCCTTGTTATAGACTGCAATGCCCTGAAGCCACTGACACTTGACATTGGCAAATATCTAATCCGTTGGCTGGTTCAAAAGATCGGTTCAGATAAAGAAAGCTGGCTCAACAACACCAACAACAACTTTAATAATAATAATAAATTGGTCACTCAATCCACAGTTGTTCGTGGGACACCTTGTGCGCAATTGGCTGCTGTGTTTTGCCCACAAAATATACCGTCAATTCACTTCACAGTACATCCCGTGAAGCGCTTTGAGACGTCTTGAAGACGTGATAAGGCGCTACATCAAACGCAAGGATTAGTATTATTATTTTATTATTATTAAGCTCTTCAGTCCGGTCGATCTCAATCCTTCCAAAATGCCAACCCTTGAATTCTCTGCCAGGTTATAATAAATAATCCTTGCCTTTGATATGGTGCTTTTCACGCCTTCTTAGATGTCGCAAAGTTAACGTCTTGAAGTTAAAGTGGAGTGGAGTCCTGTAGCTCAATGGTTAGAGCACTCGCTTTGCAAGTGAGAGACCTGAGTTTAATTCCAGGCAGAGGGCGAAACCTTGGGCAAGTTTCCTTACTCCACACAGAGCCTAATAATAATCCCTCCAAAAACCAAAAACAATAATAAATTGATCGTTTTCAATCTACGACTGTTTGTGGGACATTGCTGTGCGCAATTGGCTGCCGCGTTCGCCCACAAATATACAGTCAATTCACTTTACAGTGTGTTCTGTGAAGCGCTTTGGGACGTCCTCCCGACGTGAAAAGCGCTATATCAAATGCGAGGATTATTATTATTATTATTATTAAAGTTAACTTAGGTAGAACTCGCACTGGCACAGTCATTCTTTGCTTATTCAGTCCAATACCTTCTCTGCCAACTGCGCATTCCAAAGGTCCCAGAAAACCTCATGCAGTCAGTGAGTGGTGATAAAAGGCAGTTTTTTAATAATTTTTATAATTTATAATAATTTAATAATTTTTTATCATTTAATAATTTTATAAAGGAGGTTTTTCCTTGACTCAATCCCACCCTGCTCACTATTGAGATGAGTTTTGAGGTCAAGATCCCCACTCAACGTTACCCACCCACACACCCAGAGTAGGATGTCTGTCTGGTTGCACAATTGGTTTCGTTTCTCTCTATCTCTCTCTGCAGGCCGAATTAATAAAACAGAAACTTCCTGAAACTGAAAGCACAGCCAGACACGACCAGGGTTCAGTGGATGGATCCAGCTTTGCTGAGAAAATAAGGATCCACAATGATTCTTGCCACCTTGCTCCTGCACCTGTGGATCCTGTGCTCAGGTAAGGGCTAACAGAAGTCTCAATGCCTTTGGGGTTTTTGTTTTTGTGTAGCTTGTCCTTTGATCCTTGTGTGTTGAAGCTGGCTGGCCTCAAGCAACTCCGAATTCACAAACGAAACTGCTTCCCATCAAACTTTTTTTTTAATCACCCAAGAATAAAAGTGAATGTGGATTTTGATATGCATTCAGCTCTTTTTTTTTAATATAAAAGAAATCCAGTTGACTAGAGCAGGAGATGACAAACAATAATGCACCCTATTAAAGTGTACACCATTTTATATATATATATATATATATATATATAATGCATTTGGTAATAGGATTGTCAGTTGTTACAACTGATTGTCAAAACATCTTAAAGTGCTTTTACTGTAAAGTCTGGTCACTGGCTATCGGGAGGTAAACACAACAGTCAGTTTGCACACAGCAATATCCCACAAACAGCCCTGAAGTGAATGAGCAATATTGTTTCGGGGGATTGTTGGCCTGGACTCTGGGAGAAACTTACTTCCTCTTTCCTCTTTTCGCTTACCACGATGGGATCTTCAACACCTGCCCAAACAGGCAGGCGGGACCTCGGGTCACCCTCCAAAAAAATAGCAGATGAGCAATCCAACATTGCTTTCGCCCGCAAAATGCAGTCAGTCCACTGTACAATATAATAATAATCCTTGCATTTGATGTAACGCCTTATCACGTCTTCAAGATGTCTCAAAGCGCTTCACAGAATACTCCGCGGAACGCTTTGAGACGCCTGAACGACGTGATAAGGCGCTATATCAAATGCAAGGATTATTGTTGTTAATATACTCGGTGTTTGGTGTTCGGCAATATGTCGTTGTGTTATTGATGAGCGCGCCAGTGGACGTGGTCTGACTCGGGCCTTGTTCAAGACTCCGCATCTCCTCCGTGTTTAGGATCTGCACGTGCTCATAATGGACGGCAGAGAAGTGGGACTGCACCTTTATGGAAGAGAGTTCCAACGACAGAACTATGTTTGCCCCACAAATCATCCGGAGGAAGGCCTTCCTGGTGTTTGGCGATATGGGGGCAGAGGATTTACAGCAAGAAAAAGCCATCACCTTCAATGTTAAAGGTACGGCCAGCGGATTAAATACACGCTCCACTAATATTCTCTGTTAAAAAAAAATATGTCCTAAGGACCTCTGGTGCGCTGTATTTAACCACATGTACTGTTTGTCTACAAATAGAGTCACTACACTTAACAGTAAGGGCTTTGAGGTACTTTGATGACGTGATAAGATGTTTATATCGAATGATTATATTATCGAGTTATTATAATAAATCCAAGCCTTGCCCATTGCAACACTAATAATAATCCTTGCATTTGATATGGTTTTATAATTTATAATTTTATAATTTATAATTATGAAATTATCACGTCATTGAGAGACGTCTCAAAGCGCTTCACAGAATATAATATAAAGTGGATTGACTATCTTGTGGGCGAAACACGGCAGCCAATTGCGCACAGCAGCGTCCCACAAACAGTTGTGGATTGAGTAACCGATTTTTTTTCGAGGCATTATTAACCCTGGAAAGCGATCCGCTTAATAAAGCGATCCGTTTTCCAGGGATAATAACTAAAAGCAGCAAACGGCTGCTTTTGGCTGCAGATTGTTCTGTCCAGAACCCTCCTCACTCTCCGTGCCTTGCGAATCCGGGTTGTCTTATGTCGATCCAATAAGCGGGTGGATCTTTGCCTTGTGTTTGCAGAGTCCTTGCTAGACATATTCCGGTACGTGGAAGGAGAAGCCAGCAAGCTGGACTGCGAAATCAAACGATATTCGACTCACGGCATTCACGTGCCGTGGCCTGAGCAGGATAAGGAGCTCGATAGAGATCTACTCAATCGCTGGTTCACAGTGACCATAAAACACACCGAAGACAAGTTCACCACCACCAGCTTCTTGAGGAAGGTGCCAGCACCAGACAGCCAACAGGCAGCTGATCATGGAACGAAAGAGGACGATGAGAATTCAACAATTGGTGACACAGACACGCTGCTGGTTAAAGGTAATGTTCACAAGCAGCTAAGGAGCTCGCAAGAGGGATGTGTGATTTGTTTGTGCGCGCGGAGGGGGTGGGTGGGGGGTGTCGGGGTGGTGTGGTTGTTGACATGATAATAATAATCCTTGCGTTTGATATACAACAACAACAACAAGATTCCATTTATAAAGCGCCTTTCACGTCAGGAGGACGTCCCAAGGCGCTGCACAGTTGGGTCATGACCCGAGCAGGGGGGAAATGGTCAGGGTGAGGGGAGGGAAGGGAGGGAGCGAGGAGGGGGGAAATGGTGAGGGGAGGGAAGGGAGGGAGCGAGGAGGGGGGAAATGGTCAGGGTGAGGGGAGGGAAGGGAGGGAGCGAGGAGGGGGAAGAGAGTCGAGAGGGGAGCTGAAGGCACGGTCAAAGAGGCGGTATAGCGCCTCATCACGCCTTTGAGACGTTTCAAAGCGCTTCACAAAACACACGGTAAAGTAGAGATTCACTGCGTATTGTGTGGGTGAAACGCGGCAGCCAATTGCGCGCAGCAGTGTCACACAAACAGCAGTGGATTGAGTGACCAATTATTATTATTTTTTAAATACTTTTTTTAAAAGGGATTATTAGCCCCAGAAATGCGATCTGCCAGTCAACTAACAACCTGGTTCCTACTTACCGCTAGGCAAACAGAGGCGTGTGGAGTAAGGAAACTTACCTAAGGTTTTGCTCTGCCCGGGGATCGAACCAGGGTCCTCTATAATAATAATAATAATCCTTGCATTTGATATAGCGCTTTTCACGTCGGGAGGACGTCCCAAAGCGCTTCACAGAACACACTGTAAAGTGAATTGACTGTATATTTGTGGGCGAACGCGGCAGCCAATTGCGCACAGCAATGTCCCACAAACAGTCATGGATTGAAAATGACCAATTTATTATTGTTTTGGTTTTGGAGGGATTATTATTAGGCTCTGTGTGGAGTAAGGAAACTTGCCCAAGGTTTCGCCCTCTGCCTGGAATTGAACTCAGGTCTCTAGCTTGCAAAGCGAGTGCTCAACCACTGAGCTACAGGACTCCACAAATTTATCTTGCGAGGCGAGTGCGCTGACCGCAATGCTACGAGACGCCGATGCGTGGCGATGAGTTTAAGAGAAGTAATTGTATATTTTTGAAAAAAAAGTATATCATAAGAAAATAATAATTTGTTCACTTCAATCCACGACTGTTTGTGGGGACGCGGCTGTGCGCAATCGGCTGCCGCGTTTGGCCCACAAAATATACAGTCAATTCGCTTTGCAGTACATTCTGTGAAGCGCTTTGAGACGTCTCGAAGACGTGATAAGGTTCTGTATCAAATGCAAGGATTATTATTATTATATCTGAGCCCCACGATGAAGCAGCGAGAATGTTTTCAATCCCACTTACGTTGGAAGACGCCCATTGCTCTTTTTTTGAACCCGCCAGTGGTCTACATTGTCCGCACAAGCACCCCGTTGATCCGAGCCAAGCTCAAGCAAGACGTGGTGCTGGACTGCAGCTACAATATTGACCACAACGCCGACGTCATCATAGAATGGCGGCACGAGCACGAGAGAAAGAAGACAAAGCTGTTCTCCTACAACGGGCGACACCGCCAGGTCGAGCACCTGGAGAAGGGGGTCGTGGCCTTCGAGGAGCAGATCAGGAACGGGAACGCTTCGATCCGCATCCAGAACTTGGCCGTCAAAGACGAGGGCACCTACATCTGCTCCGTCTACGTCCCCCCGCTCTTCGGCATGAGCATCGTCCTCTTGGAGATCATGGGTAAGATAACCTGCCTTAAAACAATTTAAGAGTTGGCTCTTGCCTACCTACAACAACAACAAGTTACACTTACACATCGCATTCCACGTCAAAAGGACGTCCCAAGGCGCTAGACAGTCAGGATCCACACCCAAACTGGTGGCTGGGATCAGGAGGGTGGAGGGTGTAGGGGGTGTTCGAAAACACGGAGTATTAGTCACCAACACGAAAAACACGTAGCGGGCGAGTCAATCGATGGCCTGTCAAACGTAAGGTTCATTTTGGAGTAGCGGTTAGAAAATAAACCTTACAAAATAAAAACGAACCCTCTCAACGGTTTCCCGGCAGAGTCGCCCATCGTGCAGATGAACACCGAGCCGCTCGAGCTGATGGCCGGTGAGGAGCAGAAGCTGACGTGCGAGATGGCCCGTTACTACCCTCTGGATGTGTCTGTGAGGTGGCTGCGGCAGTGGGAAGGGCAACGCACGCTGCCCGATTACCTGGACAACGTGGTCTTCTCGCCCCACAAGAGGAACGCGGACGGCACCTTCAACCTGACCAGCTTCCTGAGGTTCCGTGCGTCGCTCAAGGACAGCGGGGCTCTGTACACGTGTCGCGTCGACCACCTCAGCCTCACGAAAACCATCAAACGCTCGGTCTCCGTCAAAGTGAAACGTAAGCAACCGGCACAGGTGGGGTGTGGTATGTTGTGGTGGGATATGGCTGGGTGGATATGATGGGGTATGTTGGGGTGGGGTGGGATGGAGTGGGGTGTGGTGGGGTGGGTGTGGTGGGGTGGGGTGGGGTGGAGTGTGGTGTGGTGGGATGGTGAAATAGAGAGGTGAAGTTTGTGAGTCATTAGAAATGTATAATAAACAGCTCCAGGCTCAGGAAGCGGAGGGAGTGTTGATGCTATTTTTTTTCGATCAATAGTTTGATCGAATCTCAAATCTCAAAACCCGAGCCTTTGACTCCACGGCTGCGGAGCTCAAATTGCCCACAAAACGCACGGGTTCCGGCACTGCGGTCACTGCACTTTACGGTCTGTCCTGTGCGAAGCGCTCTGGGACGAAGGATGTTATCCCGAGCATAAGGATTAGTATAAGTGCCGCACCGGTAATCCACGCAGACACTGCAGTCACTGCAGCATTATTGGAGGTGACGAAATTTTATTTGAAACATTAATGTCCCCTTCCCCCCTCCCCCTCACGGGACGCTGAAAATCTTGTGGGAAGATCCTCTTACTCTGCAGTGAATAAAGGCACCTCCAGGTGCAGCACAAGTCACACAGGCAGGAGAGCCCAGTTACACATTGTTCGACTACAGTTGGCTTCAGCTCCGTTTGGGATGTGGTGTAGAAAATCAGCCCAGTGTTTCCGCTCCTGGCAGCTATTCACATGGCAGAAAGTTTTCCACTTCTTTTAATGTCCATTTCATGAGTAGTTCTCATTAAAGGTGAATGGAGCAGAAATAACCCCCAGAGAACGATTGCGATTTAAATGGTCTCGTTCAGATGATTGGTCACCTACGTATTACCCAGTCACTGCACTTTAGAGTAAATCCTGCGAAGCACTTTGACGCATGAAAAGCGAGGGTTATTATTGATATTCTTATTGCGTACATCCCATTTTAAAAGCGTGCAGTTATTAAAGTGAATAATAAGCCTTGCATTTGGAAAACATTTATCTTAATTCGCCGTTGTTGACAATTTGCCATTAAACGTTACAGCTCAACCTCCAGGCTTAGCAGTTTTTCTCATCGGGTTCTGCGTCATCGTCCTCTTAGCTGTCCTCATCGGCCTGTTGTGCTACTTGAGCAAAAGTGAGTATCGATCGGCACATAGATAAGATTGGAGCAAGATTGGGATGAAATAAACAGGGAGAAATTATTTCCCCTGGTCGGTGAATCGGAAGCCAGAGATTTAGGTGAAAAGAGGAAAGGGAGAGGTTAGAAGGATATTTTTTAACACAAAGAGTGGTTAGGTTGTGAGGTTTCAGGTGAATCACTGGTAGCTTTAAAGAGGGACTTAGATAAGCACCTGCAAAAGAGAAACATGAAAGGATGTGGGAAAGGCATGAGAATTGGACTGAACAGGTAGATCTTACAGAGAATCATCACTGGGTCAAATGGTCGCTGTTCTGTGCTGTAAATTTCTATGGTTTCACATTGATAATTAGCCTTGATCTGGACTCGCCGTGTTGTGGCCTGTTTTGAAGGCTTAGCATCAACTCAGTTTTCCGCCATTTACTACAGCAGCTGTTTTGTTGCACGTCCAGAACGAGAGGAAATAGGCAATTTCTCGAAAATATGGAAACTTCCAGACTTAACCACCGTTTTATTTGGATGGGAAAAAACTTACCTTAAAAGTTCCTAGCCACAAACTCGAATACATATGTTGCAGCAAATGACTTGGAGACAGCGTCCCACTAAGGATCACGGCCGGCTAAAGCAACTTCACCTGCACCGCGCCGTGAATGAAAAGATCATAGAGTCATAGAATTATACAGCACAGAAGGAGGCCATTCGGCCCATCGTGTCTGTGCCGGTAAGGTGTACCAGTACCAGGACAGTGCATCGTGACCTTCCACTTACCGCAGGACGCAATTGCGCTGATATGAACTTTTGACGATTCTCTTTATCTTTTTCCTTCGCAGGCTGGGAAAGAAACAAGGTAAAAACGAAAGCCCTTTTTCACTTTACTCACCTATCTCGTGATACTTGTGTAGGTCAGTAAGCGCTTATCGCTCACACGTGTCTGTAATCACAGTGATGGATCATTGGTGGAATCCCAAACAACCCGGAACAGTGTCTTCCCCAACCATTCTCGTGGTGAAATGTAATCTTGGCTGTTACTCCGGTGCAGCGCTGGTGGGAGTGTCTCATTGTCTGTGCTATGGATGAGACGTTAAAACAGGTCCAAACCTGTGCCTGTGAAACGGTTTCAGTTGTGTTTCAGATTACTTTTAGGATTTTTATTATCAGGGATTATTATGTTATTTATTTAAGCTTGCCCACGCAACAGTCACTTTACTCAGAGGTAATTACCCGCAGACGAGACGGTGAGACGTTTCAATATGATTTCTTTCTGAACAGAAACTCAAAATAATGCTCCATGTATTATTTATTCTCTTTTCAACAGAAGAAGCCGTACTAAAGCATCGGGCAAGACTCAGGGTGAGTGTATGGAAGAGCTCTGGGCAATGAATGTGGTTTCGCTTTATACTGATCGTGAAACTGACTGATGAGACTGATACCAGACCAGCCAAAGTCACAGGTCAAATGTGAGACAGTATTTACCTGGGTGATGAGCGGAAGCAAGAGGGAGGTGACCATAGCTGCTGTTGAAGGGGGTTGGGTTTAAGCGCTCCGGGACACTGCCCTGCTTGAAGGGCGCTATATAAATGCAAATTGTTGTTGTTTTGAGGCAGTGTTTAAAAGACAGATAGAGGTTGGGAGTTCCAGAGAATAGGGTACACATGTAAAGTAGGCTCATTCATTCATATTGTGTCAGCTGGTTTCAAACAAGTTGGCCGACAAAACACACTTTACAGTGTGTCCTGTGAAGTGCGTTGACGTGAAAGGCGCTGTGTTAAATGCCGGATTTATTATCATTGTTATTTTATGTGAATGAAATGACCATTGCCTCAAGGTGACTGAGATCAACAGGACTCAAACTCTCCTTCTCTTTGTCTTCTTATCAGCTGTGGCCGAGCTGAGACAGCAGGAACACTATTTGTTGCTTCGTGATGTGTTTCCCCTCTCCCCAATCAAAGGACGTTAATTCCTAACGAGACTTAAGTCACAAGAGCGAAGGCCTCAAACTACGTTAAAGCAGTCGGATTGGCGACTGGGACAACATTGACGTCAGAGTCTCAGGATGAACGTGAAAATGATTTCACTGAACTTTTTCAAAGCATAGTTCTCTGGACTCGGACGCGCAGGGCCCACAAGATCACAGAATTTCTTATTGTGACGTTTATATAGTTTCGGCCACAAAATACACAGTCAATCAGTTTACAGTATATTCTGTGAAGCCCTTTGAGACGCCTCGAAGATGTGAAAAGGCGCTGTATCAAATGCAAGGATTATTATATCCAGATGGTGGGGGAATGAACAGAGTTAGTGTGGAAGCAAATCGTGAGAAAAGTACATGATATATTTTCACTATTTCTCCCCGGACCCAAATGCTTATAAAATATTAATCTCTTTCTCCCCCTCCCCTCCCCTCCCATCCCACTCACCAAATCCTGATAACTCGCATTCTTCCAGAGCTCTTTTGAACCTGGGTGATGGGTTTCCGCACGTGGATGACCAAAAATGAAACGTTATTAAAACACAATCGTCGTGTGCCTCGGGCGGGGTGAGAGAGTTTGTCCATATCAAGGATTTTTTTCTCTCTCTCTCTCTCTCTGGGGGTAAGTGAAGTTGAAATTAAAAAAAGTACATATATTTCCTCCTCTCTTTGCCCTCCCCTCCACCCCCCCCACCTAAATTTTAAGTGATCATTTTTATTAAAAAAATAAATTGTCGAAAATAAATTAATTTATAAAATAAATGATATAAAAAAAATACTTTTCAGGGGCAGTGTTGTGGGTCCCGCTCGGTGTCAGGTTGATACAAAGGCCAGCTATGTGTGTGTGTGTGTGTGTGTGTGTTCAGTCAGTGGTTTTCTCCTGTCCGGGCCAAGGTATGGAGTCCTGTAGCTCAGTGGTTAGAGCACTCGCTTTGCAAGCGAGAGACCTGAGTTCAATTCCAGGCAGAGGGCGAAACCTTGGGCAAGTTTCCTTACTCCACACAGAGCCTAATAATAATCCCTCCAAAAAGCAAAACAATAATAAATTGGTCATTTTCAATCTACGGTTTGTGGGACATTGCTGTGCGCAATTGGCTGCCGCGTTCGCCCACAAATATACAGTCAATTCACTTTACAGTATGTTCTGTGAAGCGCTTTGGGACGTCCTCCCGACGTGAAAAGCGCTATATCAAATGCAAGGATTATTATTATTTATTATTATTATAAGGTATCGATTGAATGGCTGGAAAATGATGCTATTGGTGTGACAGCAGGTACTCTTGGGAGTTGAAGATGGTTGTGGCAAACACAGCAGATGCCACCAGGGGACAGGCTCTCTGTCTACGAATGTTGATGTGGCCTTTACCCAACCTTTGTTCATTGCAATGTCGCCAAGTGGTCAAACCCAGTCAATAAATACACGCATTGTTCAAGCCCTCACTGAGTTGCTCCCGTATCTTTTAATCTGCATTCCCAACTCACGACAACACACTCTCCATTGAAACCATCGGCTGACTCGAGTTCTCACTCAAGGGCAACCACTTCATCACAGTCACTAAAATTAGCGTTTCATACTTCATCAGTAAACTTTACAGTAAATTTTGCCGCTTGCTATGTGTTTGCGTGTATATGTTATATTAAATATCCCATGGCACTATTCGGGAAGAGAAGAGAGTTTTTCCCGGTGTCCTGGCCAACAATTCCCCCGAATAAAATTGGTCCCTTCACTTCATGACTGCTGGGTTCACCTACAAAATACAATCACTACCCTTTACAATAAAACCTGTGAAGCGCTTTGATGTTCTCCCAAAGTGAGTGGCGCTGTATCAAATGCAGTAATTATTAAAATAGATGATTTTCTCAATCGGACGCACCACCTTAGTGAAATAAAACTGCATTAGTACCTGCCCACCTCACTGTAAAAGTAGTTAAAAGCCCCCCCCAAAATACAAGTGGATTCACTGTCATTTTTGGTTTTGAACCCCAGATCTTTGTCACTAATAGGCCGGAGTGAGGCGACTTCAAATACGTTACTACAAAAGGGGAAACCCACTTGGCTATAAAAGTGGAGCTCGGATTGTGATCGCACCTCGGTTTCAGGTTCAGTAGGTCAAACGGGAAGCCCAGGATCTCGCCCGTTTTGCAAGTCACAATCGGCTACTTGGGTTGCACATAATCTCCACATTGAAGCAGCGAGTGGCGTGCAACAGGAGGAGAGGAGGCGTGCAATCGGTAAAGATAATTCGCTCACTCCTTCCGACCGAGTGTGTCGGATTACACGCCGCCCCCGCACGACAAAACAGAATGACATTCGCACGGCGCCTTTCACGGCGGGAGGACGTCCCAAGGCGCCGTTGGACAGTCAGGGATTTGCGTAGTCTCCTTGAGGAGACTCGGGTGGCAACCCACAAAGGAAAGGTGAAAAGATATTTTTGTGAACAAGAGTTGCTCCCCCCTCTATTCCTTGCCTCTCCGTAAACTTTACGACCCAGTTCTTTAAGTTGGCCGAGGCACAATAGACTCAGATCATTCAGCTCTGCTCCCAACCCCATGATGCCTCGTAATATTTGCGACCAGGATAGCAAGTTCACCCTCCGCTTTAAGTTGGCCGAGTGTAGAATATACTCGGGACCTTCAGTCCTGCGTGTTGCCGTCCCTCTTTAATGCCGCTCTGTAATGTTTTAGGATCCAGTGGTAAACTCGTCTTCCCCTTTTAAGTGGGTTGAATACACAATGGTTAATGTCGAAGCAGAAATAGCCTCAAATAAAAGACAACTCAATTCTCAAAATCATTTTGACACAAAATACCACATTTATTATTCTGTTGCGTTACACTCACACACACACACAAAAAAAGACAGGACAGGAAAACCAAATGTACAAATGAGTTATTTTTTTTTCTGTTTTAAAACAACACGACGACGAAAGAAATTTGCCAAAGTAGCAATAAATTAAATGTACAGTATTTACAGCTGCAGACAGTCCAGGCAGCTTCATAAAGCTATGCTGCGGCTCAAATAGTACTCCCACTTGCCACGGGTCAGTCACATTCATGTCCAGCAATCTCAACAACTGATGGCTATAGACGCTTTATACGTCCGTTCAGCTCAATAATTCAGCCTTCTGCATTCTATGTTACACTTCCAAGGAAGTTCTGAAGGTGAATACTATTGACGTGTGAGGAACAGTCACTTTGTTTTTCTTTAAAGCGTGAGGTCTTATATTTAAAGAAGGCGCAACAAACTTTGGCGCTTTCACTCCCCTTTAACTCACGATTGGCACAAAAGCTGTGTGCAAATAGTGCTTTTTTTTCAAAATAAAAACAAGCCTTTTGGGCGGATTAAGGTGAAAGATGGAGGTGTTTAGTGTCAGCAACGAATGCACTTTCACGTTAAAGGTACATTGTGAGTTAGGTTCGGTGGTGATTTAATTTAAGACCCTTCTTATCAGCTCTCCTCATTCAATGAGTATCTCCTCACCCACCCCCCCATCGTATAACCATGCATTTTCCACATCAACCTTCTGTTGCCCTGGTTTACCGACTTGGTAATAATAATCACAATCCTTGCATTTGATTGTAGAGCCTTATCACGTCTTTGAGACGTCCCAAATCAATTCCCGATGAAGAACTACACGATCCAGATCTGCGTTCCCACCGATGCTCCTAATCTGGTTCCTTCACTCACCGTCAATATTGAACAGTGGCCACTTTGGAGAGGGGCATGGGAAAGCAGACACCAGTAAGAGGATAAAAGGGGTTAAAAAAAAACACCTTCGGGAGAGGAGGGGGAGTGAAGAGAATTGAAAGGAAATTCTCAGTCTTTTTTTTAAACAAGGAATGCAGAAGACTTACATTAAATGTATTTTTATATTGATATTTGAACATATTAATTAATTTAATATAAGATGGACGTGGTCCCCTTCCTGTATTTGTTTGATCACATGAATGTGCTGACCCAGTCTGAGCAGCAACGACAATTTCACCTTCAAATTTAAGGAGGGTGGAAAACTTCTTAAATTCAGTCGCGATTTTTTATTTTAAAAAATAAAGCAGCTTCCAAATTTCGGTCTTAATTTAAACTCCCGCCTCCCCCCCCACCACCCTTCTCCCTCTCCAGGATTTGAAACGGTAAAAGTTTTACAGGCTACGACCGGTTGGAATTGTGGGCCTCAGGTGATGTGTTAGAATAAGAATTGTTTACTTCAGAAGGTTTGAGTGTTACGGAAAGTGCATTAAATTGTTTGCAGTGCTGAGTTTTTCCAACTTTTTTTTGAAAAGAGATTTCATCACTTGAGTGCCCAATGTGAAGGCCCCTTTGGTTATCTTTGGGTGAAAATAGATAGGTTGATATTTGCTGATGAATGACATCTTGTGAAAGGGGAGTAAGGCTTGGATGAGAGAGAGTGGGGCAAGAGAGGGGTGGGGTGGGTGGGGGGGGAATTAAAAAAGAAAAGAAAGCTATATTCACCCCCTCTTCCTCGACTAACCTAGATTCACACGAGAAATTTTCTAATATCCTGCACCATTAGATATAAATATCACGGCCTTAAATATTGTTTTTCAGATTTCTGTCCGAATTGAGGATTTTTTAGGGGGGGGTTTAAAAGAAAAATGTCCGAAATAACTGGATGCTGCTTTATCTGAATGAGCGTCACGTCAACAGATTCCTGACTTCTAACAGTTCTGCACTGAAGCTGCCACTGATTCCAATCATCATCGAACTCTCACATCATTTACTGGCCTTCAGCCACAAGAGGTCCCTCACAGACAACTCTTGAGCTGGATTTGGTCCCCAAAGCCTGGCTCGATTAACCCCTTCAAAGGGTTTCGTGAAAAAATAAAGCTTGGCAAACTTCTCCGAACCCCCCGCAACCCCCAACGCCCCCCCACCCCACCCCACCCACCGATTCAAATACCAACGCACGACACAGTCAAATTGCATCAAACATATTCCTGTTCTTCGTGCAGGGTGTCAATGTGCTCAGAGCTTCGCATTGACGCCCCATCCTCAGCCTGAATAAAAACTTGCCGAACATTCTTTCACGAAGCCAGCATCCCTGCCCCATTTAATCCTAAATAACTATCATCTTTACAAAAATATGCACGCTTACATCTGCAGATGAGATTTTTTTTTTTTGGCTTGCTAATTTCTAACGTTGATTATTTGTACAGTACCATCAGAGAGACAGATAGGATCACAGAACATGTCGTAGCTCTCCTGGGATTAACAGTAGCACAACTGCACCAAAACGCTGGCCAATAGCAACGTACGGTGGGGGGGCGGGTTGGAACGGGGGCAACCTGCTAATAAAGTGCTTTGCTTATAAGGCGGCGCCATCTTGGCTTCCGGCACGCTAAAGAAAAAGGATATTTCCAGGTCCCCAGGTTGCCGCTGACATCTCTTCCTGCGCCCTGCGAGCAGCTCGCGCGCGCACAAGAAGTGACGTTGACGGTCACCTAACCACCCACCCAGAGGTTGGCCATTTACCCGTGCGAAGGGGGGCGTTTGGTCCGAGACGTGGGACCCAGACGGCCGTGTTCCCACGGGGCGGCCACGTTCTATTTGGTTTTCCTCCCAAAGGGCATTTTTGTAGCAAATTGGGATTGGGAACCGTCGGCTGGTTGTGTACATCACCTCTCAGCCTGTTCCTCCAAAAGGTCAAGAACGCCATCATTCGAGAGGAACAAAACCTACGGTCGATGAACAGCTTGTAAAAGGCGTGGGTGGGGGGGTGGGTGGGGAGGAGGAGCAGAAATTGCAGACACACTAATCTCTCAGCATTTAAGAGCGAGCAAGATTTGGCATAGTGTTGCATTTCCATCTCGACTTCGAGCCTTTTTTTTTTGGGTCTGGGCTCCACGAGAGCTACCGAATCCAGCCTGAATTTAGGAATTTGCCAAAGCTGCTCCGTGCCCTGAAAAGCTGAGGAAATAATATAAATCAAGACGTGGGAGGAATTTAGTAACGCGGGAGGAATCTTGTCGGTTCGCCCCGTTTCCTCCCCCCCCCCCTCACACAAACTGGTGTACATTTCGCTTATCGGTGCAGAAATTCTACTGGAATCCCCGAAGGATGGGTTTGCCCCTAAGACGACAAGGCGAGATTTTCCTTTTGCACACGCACCACATTTAAAACTGTTTTGAGTATGAAATAGGCAGACGACAATCCTAAGGTGGGCACGATTTTTGTCAACGGGCAGTGTACAACGTGGCAGATAACGGGTTACGACACGTAGGTTTTAGCTTCTCACGTGGAGTACTGGTGCAAAGCAACATCAGCAGGAGTTCAAATAAATTATACTTGGGCACCCTCTCTCCATCGCTCACCACCACCCCCCTCACGCACCCCTTCTCCATCTCTCACCCCCACACCCCCCTCTCTCCATCTTGCCCCCACCCTCTCTCTCTCTCTCTCTCTCCATCTCAACCCCACTCCCACTCTCTCCATCTCGCCCACGCCCCCCACTCTCTCCATCTCGCTTGCCCCTCCCTTTCTCCATCACACACCCTCTCCGCGCTGCAAGGAGCCAGGATATGGGGAAAACATGGCCATCCTTGACTTTTGTACCTGATCAAACCCCAGAGGAGCAGTTAGGAGATTCTCAAGACACACAAACCATGGGCACAGTTTCCATTTTGAGCTGTGACCTGCACACGCCCTACAACTGTTTCCTCAAGGTCCGACACTTCACAAGAGCTAGTGTCCCTAAAAAAAAACATGGAAGTCTCCTTGCAATCCTTCTCCCTTCCCTTCCCCTCCAGCCGCCCCCTCCCATGAACTCCCCCCACCCCACCCAGCCCCCCCCCTCAACAAAGGTCAACTCAGTGAGATTTCACTGCACGAGCACCCGCATAATCTTCAAACAAAATATATTTCATCGCCTCGATCTGGAAACGAGGGCGTGATACTCTCAATCTCGAAACATTTTGGCGTGTTTCATTTTGGCTTTTGTTAAAAAAATAAGGTTCAAGCCTCGCCTGGTCTTCACAATTTGTACGGCCAATACATGAGAAACAAACAAACAAACAAACAAACTGAAACCAAGGTCAAAGATCTCCCCTCTGTGCTGTCCTCTGGGTCACTCGGAGTCATGGAGGGTATCTCCTCAGGAGGCAATACTTGGAGCAGTTTATTTGAACCCCTGACACAGCAGGTGGGATGTCTCAGTGCTACTCTCCTTCCTCGCGGAACGGAGAGAGCGAGAGTAAGAGAGAAAGAGAGAGAGAGAGAGAAACAAAAGACGCAGCTTTAAGGGTAGCGAAGGGCAAAACTTTTCCGTAGCTACTTTTTGTAGTGAATGCGAGTTCTCACAAAGCCGTCAAAGAAATGGCGATGGCGCATCGCACTAAAGGGCCGTTAGCTGGGTTGGCGTTTACTGAAAAAGAGGACATAACGACAGTAAATAAATCGGTAAATCATCGGAGAGAATTTGGCATCGATCATCGAACGTTACAACTCGGTACATCAGCTCTGCACTCTCGACTTTCCTCCACATGAGCCACCTAATACCCCAGGGGTGGCCGTGCAATCAGCCATCACGCCCTGAAACTCTCTCCCTCAATCCTTCCGCCTTGCCCCCTTCTCTCCCCGCCTTCCAATCCCACCTGAAGACCTTCCTTTTTGATCGTGTTTACAGTCACCTCCTCCCACCCCACCCCCAACTCCCTCTGGCTCGGTCAGACTCCATCACTGTCAAGCGCTTGAGGATGCTATATACAAATGCAAGTTGTTGTTGTTGTTGATATTAGCCCGCTCGCCTCTACATACAAAGAATTCTTCTGACTCGTCTCCTGTTATCCCTGCAATCTATAGCCCTAAAGGGGAGGGTGGTCCTCGCTGGACCAGCAACAGAAAGTTGACTTGCTCCCTGCTTTAGAACCACACAAAACACAAGCTCCGACTGTCACAGGCTTGGACTCGCAGCGTGACTCACCTTATAAATCTGTTTCCAGGTGAAGTGCTCACTTCCCACTAGTGACTCTGCTTAAAAAGAAGACGGGAGAGACAGAGATATATATATACATATATATCTGCGTGTGTGTGTGTGTGTGTGTGTGTATGAAAAAAATTCAGCCAGTCCCTGTACGGGTTGCATATAATACGTATAATCCTTGCATTTGATACGCCTTTTATGTAGGAAGAACATCTCAAAGATCTTCTTCTCAAGATGTATTGTAAAGCGGCGTGAATGGGTATTTTGTAGGCGATCAAAGGCGTGCACTTTTACGCACATCAACGTCCCCCAAACGGCCATGAAGTGAATGACCAAACTTTTCTGGAAGAGGTATTTTTTTTCCAAAAACCAAGGGCTCTAGGAGAAAGTCCCTTCTCTTTTCGAATAGATCTTTAACGTCCACCTGGACAGACCAAGACGGGGCCTGGGTTTAACATTCACGTTTGGATTTGGGGGTTACATTGCTGTGCCAATACCGCGGTGGATTGAAGTGACCAATTTATTATTATTATTATTTTTTTAAGGAATTATTACCTCCGAAAAAGCGATCCGCCAATCGACTAACAACCGGGTTCCCACTTACTGCTAAGTAAAGTGAGGCGGGTGGAGTAAGGAAACTTGCCCAACATTTCGCCCCGCCGGGAATTGAACCCAGGTATCTCGCTTGCGAGGCAACTGAGCTACAGGACTCCACTGACTTACCGTGTTTGGGTTGTGGTGAACTTTCTCGAACCGGAATTTCAGAGCAGCTCCCGGGGAGGTTTTGCACTTTGCCGTGTCTGTCGCAGGAGAAGAGAAGGAAAGATCAGAGCGAAACTGTGAAACCCACATCTTCAACTCTTGCTCTCACTGCACTCCACACCCCCCACCCCCCACCACCCCCCCACCATCGCAGTTTTTCACGCAAAGTGTAGTGGAAATCTGGAACTCTCTCCCGCAAAAGGCCGTGGATGCTGGATCCATTCGAATTATCAAGATGGAGGTGGACAGATTTTTTTGTTAGGTCGGGGTGTCAAGGGATATGGGGCAAAGGTGGGTGATTGGTGTTGAGGTACTGATCAGCCATGATCTAATAGGATGGCGGAACAGGCTCGAGGGGCTGAATGGCCTACTCCTGTTCCTAGCATGACTTTGAACTTTGAGCTCACAGTCTAGGCTCCAGTGCAGTGCTCGATAGTCACGGTGTTGGCAAGCGATGCATTGTCAAAGGTGCCATCCTTCGGATGAGACGTTAAACCGAGGTCCCGTCCGTGTCTGTGCAGACGGACATTAAAGATCTCGTGGCGCTATTCGGAAAAAAGCAGGAAGTATCTTTCTTCTGGCTGACATTTCCCCAGATGGAATCAGTCATTCACTATACGGCCATTTGCTGTGCGGAAATTTGCGTTCACCTACAAACGCTCAGTCACTGCATTTTACAGAAAACCCTGTGAAGACCTTTGAGACGTCTCAACGACGTGATAGTCACCTGATCAAATGTAAGTCTTATTGTCATGGGTGCACTGTGGGCTCACTGCGATAGGTGCAGTAAACTTCCTACCTTCAGCGCTAAGGATTCAATGACACCAGTGACCTACATCTCTTTCTCCCTAAATCCCCTATTCCTGGCAACCCTCCCCCTGCTTTCAAAACCCATCTTAAAAAAACTTTCTCTTTGACTGAGCCTTTGACCGTCTCACTCCGAGCCATCCCTAACTCCCACCCGCAGTTGCTCCATTTGCAGAAGATTTCGTTAGTGAAAGGCACTGTGTAAAGGCACGATAGTGTCGTTATTGTTGTCAGGCTGATGGGGATGGTGTGTGTGTGTGTGTGTGTGCTAGCCTGTATCTGTGGGAGGAGGGTGTGCGTGTGTGTGAGCAGTAAGGGGAAGAGAGGAGGGTGTGTGTGGCATTTGTATATGTAGGTGTGGGGGAAGTTGGCGTGTATGTATGCGCGCGCATGTGCACATAGGGTGTTTGTGTGTGTATTCACCCGTGTACGTATGGGGGAGGAATGTGTGTGCGTGTGTGGGGTACGTGTATGACTGCGGGCAGACAAGACACTGAGGTAGCAGCAGTGTGAGACACTCTGTGCAGACCTGTGGGGCTCTTGCAGGAGCTGCCTGGGTTGAAGACGTTTTGGTTTTCGCTGTTCCCCAACGGGCTGTAGAGAAAAACATCCTGTCGGAAAGGAGACGCCATGGACGTCTGGCTTCCCTGAGCGAAGAAGAAATTGGTGATGACGACTACGAGGGCAAAGAACGATTACGAAACGCAACACAAAGTAACCAAAAAAATCAGTGACAACAACAACAATAATATTATTATAATAGCATTCGCAAGGAATTTGTTTTGAAAAGAAAACGTTCCCATTACGGGAATCGAGTGGAATTCTTTCACGTCTTTGACTTCTCCACCAGCATCAGTCGCCCAGTGACGACTTTGAAAAGCCATGTTGTTATCCCAAAACAACTTGCACTTACACAGTGCCTTTCACCTTCAGAAAACATCTACAAGTGCTTCTCAGGCACACCGATGGAGCCCGGGCAGGGGTGGGAGATGGCGGAAAGATATGCGTCAGGGCCCAGTCCAAAGTTTTGTTTTATTTACAGATGGGTCTTCAAACCAGGGAAGGATGGTGGTAAGGAACCCCAAATAATTCAAGGCTCAACAAAGCTCCTTCTGATCTCCCAACACACGTGTCTATCCCAGCTCACAGAAAGAGCACCCCCACCCCCACCGCATTGCGTCAGTGTGACCGTGCCGTGTTGCACAGCGAGTTTCGGTGCCAGGTTAGGGACGGTTTGTTTCACGTTTCGGCCGCTCACAAACACCGGACTGTCATGAGACGACAATCACTTTGAATCCCTACGGTCAGTCTGTCAGTTCCGTAACTCTTTCTTCAAAACCAGTTTTCTCGAGGTGAAGTTTAGTCACACCGGTTTACCCGCTCCACCACCGTTCTCAATGTCTATGTTTAAAGGGGGGGTTTAATCCGTGCCGTTCAATAAAACTTTGCCTATGTTTGCAGGATGGAGGTGGACCGGAGGGAAGGCACACTGATAAAGATCATCTATTGTAGGGATTAATACCAAAGTGGGTGTAGAAGAGAACCAGAGAAATCTACAGAGCAGAAAGAGGCCATTCGGCCCATTATTTTTATTATTATTACTGCTACTACTACGATCGAGCCTGCACTGGCTCTCAGAGCAAGTTGCCCATTCATCCCATTGCCCTGATCGCCATCAACTCCCTTAAGCCTTTATATACAAGTCGATACCCACCTTGGACTCTGCCACTTTACTAGGCAGGGCCCGTCAAAATATCATTCGTTAAATTAAGAGCATAATTTAATAAAAATACTAAAATAAATTATTTATTGAATAAATATTATTTATTTTATATTACATTAGATATCGTATTTTATTTTTCCCACAAAATATAGTCAAGCAATCAGTACGTCTTGTGAAGCGCTTTGAGACGTCTCAAAGATGCGATGAGGCGCCATATCAAATGCAAGGATTATCATTATTATTATCATTATTATTATAATTCTCCACGGCACAAAGATCTTTAAACTCCACCGCTCTGAGACGTGGCGCTGTTGGGAAGACTTACTGCACTGGTCTCATACTCCTCCATCGCCTCGCTCTCGCCGGCAGTGCTGCTGAAGCTGCTGGTACTCGATGAAGAATGTGAGATGTTGTCCCTCCCGTTCTCCTTGAGTTTATTGAAGATCCTGAGTAGGAGGAAAGACGGAGGTGGTGATGGGGGAGAGGGAGAGAAGGAAACACGCGATGAGAAGTTGACCTGCGGTGCACGTTTGGTGAGGATCTCAAGGGGTTAAAAGGAGTGCAATTAAAGACCAGTGTCTGTCAGAAACCCGATGCTGAGCGGTGTAATGAAAATGGCGCAGATAGGATCAATAACTGACAGAGCGCTAACCACTTCAAAAGGGCAGGTGCTTTGTTGGTTCGAGGAATCAGATGAATCGCATTTCAGAAGTCTGGCCGAGAAATATATTCGAGTCTGGATGTGTCACTGCTGATAAGGGGCATTCATCCTCAAACAAACGGACATACAGTGCTGCATTTAGTATTTGCATTTTCTCTCTCTCGCTCTCTCTCTCACGCACACGCACGCACACGGTCAGGACTTTACGATCAGTTCTTGGGCTCCCACTCGCTCTGCGCAATTCGGCTATGAGGACTATGCGTTTTCACGGCTTTTCTGCATTGCCTTAGCTGCGTGGTGCCACCCGTGTTTATGTCGTTCGGCTCGAATAAATCAGGACGTTCAATTGAGTGCGTGGTCACCTCCTAAAACGATACCATTGCACCCTGGGGTGATGGCTGCGAAGCAATTTTTAGAGACAGTGTTCTGTCAAAACAAAAGTTCTTTCCAATGCTCTCCTCAGATCGAGCACAGCAGTGGCTAAGTTGCAGCCCCGCCTCTGAGTTAGAAAAGCTCTGGGTTTAAGCGTTCAGTCCAGTACAGTCTTGGGGGAGCATTGCACTGTCTGTGGTACCGTCCTTTGGACGAGAAGTTAAACCGAGATTCCTCTCGCCTGATCAGGTGGATGTTAAACATCCCATGAAGCTCTCTGAAAAGGGAAGGAATAGTCTCTTCCTGGCCAACCATCCCCCCAGGTATAAAATGGCCCTTCATTTCATAGCTGTTTGTGGGACATTTCAGTGCGCAATTTGGCTGCTTCCAAACACAGTGAGTACACTTGATGGCAATTCTCTGTGATATTTCGACCTCACCGCGCAGACCCAAGGGTTACGGTTATTTAGAGAGTCAGGCTGATGGCGGTTGGCATTACCTGTCTTTGCTGGGGCACATTTCAGGCGAGCTGGGATTGGAGGAAGTGTCCCATTTGACCTCCTGTATGATTTGGCTGCTCTCAGGCGTTCTTGGTAAACTTGACAAGCTCTCACTGTCACACACAGAAAAACAATACAATAAAAAAAAATTGTTTTAAAAAATAATAATTTGGTCACTGAATCCATGAGTGTTTGTGGGACGCTGCTGTTGGGGATGTGAAAACGCCACATTACTGTAAATCCCGGCCGATTCCTGCTCGAAGCATAAAAATCCTTCAGTCAAACTCAATAGCAAAGTGGAAGTCTGGCTCAGTGTCAAGTATGTGTTCTGCTCTTGCAGGACCTTCAGGGCTGGAGGTGAAGCAGAGAGAAATTTGACATTTATGAGATTTCTTTCCCCCAGTGGAGCCCAACCCAGGTCAAGGAAAGCTCAGGCGCATTACCCACAGACACAAAACAATAAAAAGGGAAATTCGACAAGTGTATTAAAAAAAATCGAGAGAGTCGGATGCAGGAGGAATCGTTCTCTGATGGGGAATCAGCATCACACTTAGCACAGACAGACAGACAGACAGAGAGAGAGAGGCAGACATAGAGTGAGAGAGGGTGGGGGTGAGGGAAAGAGAAATTCCAACTAGGCTTGGGATATTTTCTTAGCGTTTCAAAATGTACACATTTTCCGAATTCAGAATTAAGATTTGTTGAGAATTTTTGCCCGATTCAGAGCTCCAAAATGCTAAGAAAATTGTGCAAGTCTGGACCCAGGTGTAATTTTTCCGCTCCGTTTCTTATTCGATTTTTAAAATTTTATCGATTTATTTTTTATTATCTATCGATCGATCGATTATTTAAGTAAAAAATGTTCTGAACCAACTAGCAATACATTTGCCAAGAGTGACCGGGAAATACCTTCGTTTCTGTGAACAGTGCCTCTTAAAGTGAAACAGTTCTCCCCAAACCGAACCGTCTGTTAAAGCCGCACGGGATCTCAAATCACCGCCCCGACCAAAGCCGCGATCTTTCCCCTCCATTCGGGGCCCCGACTGACTCGAGGAGCTCATTTTTATTCAGGATGATTAAGCTCCTCATTAAGAGCAACGATCTGCAGCTTGGCTAAACAGCTCCATCTAGCCACGGGCATCATTTGTAAAAAGTGACAGGCCAGTGATAGAAGAACTAAAAATAAACTGCGACTGTATTTAGCAGACGGAGGGGTGGACACCAAGCAAGGAAGGGGCCAGGGGAAAATGAGGGTCACTCTAAATTACACTGAGGTCTTAATAAACGATTAGTCAGAGCCGAATCTTGAATGGAGATGTCTCGGTGGAATTGGTTGGTTGGAGAAACCTATCTCCAAACAACCACTGCTTTCCGAGACATCTCGGCTTATCTGATCTCATGCCCCCACCCCGTGGCAGCAGAAAGGTGTGTGTGTGTGGGGGGGGGGGGGGGCGGGTTTAGAGTTTGCAAAGACGGCAATTTCAGGCCAGACATCAAGAAAAATGTCTTTATCCAGAGACTGATTAACGACCGATCAACTGCAGCAGGATACCAGGAAAGGAGGCCAAGATGCTGGGATACATTTAAATGGAAAAAACCTCGATGCTGTGATGGCAGAACAGTAGGGTGGGTGTTATGGAGGGATGCGATCAGATGGGCCGAAGAGCCTTCTTCATCTGAACGGATTTTGTGACCTGAAGACCAATTCCTGGCCAGCAATCCTCCAGATGAATTGGTCACGGACCTCGATATGTCGGGTTTCCCTGGATTTCTCGCCAGTAATTGCTCTGATGCTCTTTGAGACGCGACGAGGCACTATAAAGACGCAAGGTGATGTAGTTTTTAAACAGGGCCACGGGTGTTTTTTCACCATTACACTCACCATCGCGGGCGGCTGTCTGATTGTCCGTCCGAGCCTGCGAGGGGTCGAGGGAAGAGGCCTGATCTTCGCTTCACCGGGCTCTTCAGCATCTTTACCTGTTGCTGAGGACAGAGAGAGCGCGAGAGAGAGAGAGAGAGAGAGAGAGACTATGTTACTTTAGAGAGATGTAGGCAGCTCAACATGCAACAAGAAACCATGAGTGTAGCTTGAGATGGAATAGGGACACAGAATCCAGGCAATTTTCACCCACAAATAACAGTCAATTCTCTTCACAGTGTATTCTGTGCAGCGCTTTGAGACGTCTCGGAGACGTGATAAGGCGCTGTATTAAATGCAAGGCTTATGCTTATTATTAATAATCTTTTTAAAAAAATTTAAAATGAGTTATAAAATTACCTTTCTTTTTTAAAATGTCTTATCTGTTCACTGCAAATCCGCTATATGCAACCAAATATTTTAAAAGATATCCTTTTGTTTAAAAAAAGGATGTATATCACAAGATAACGGTTTGAATGAAGAAGGCCCTTCATCTTATCTGGTCTCAGCCCTCGAAAATTCTCTCCCTCCCTCCCAGTGAGACGTCTTGAAGATGTGATAAGGCGCTATATCAAATGCAAAGATTATTATTATCCTCCCGTCACAGCAGTGAGCTGCCTCTTAAATGAGCTCTGGGACGCTACCCTGTGTGAGGGTTGTGATATAAATGCAAGTTGTCGTTGTTGTTGAGCTCATTGTCTTGACCTCTTATAGAGGGCATCCAGCTTGCCAGGTCTGGAAGCACCTACAGTTTGATTTAAACCTTCATGACAGAGCTAAGCATCCCAGGTTAATATATAATTAAGCCTCGGAATTGCCTTCTGGAGGCATCCAGCAAATTAAGCAGCGAGCTAGGAATTCAGCCAATTAGCTTTATTCTTCCCTGGGCGGGCGGGGGGAGTGGGTGGGAGGGGTGGTGGTTCTTACAAGGTTTGGTTGTATTAATTGGATTCTCTTTACCGGCAATCTTATTAACTTTATTGTAAGTTTGGTCTAAGAACACGAGATGGGATCAGCAGCAGCCCACTCAGCTAATCCAGACTCCTCTGCAACTTACTACCATTTCTTTGTCCTCCACCATAGCCCTCCATACCACTGCCACCAAACACTCACCTCCCTCCCTCTTCAAAGTTTCCGCCTTGATTAAAAACAGCCGTTAAAAATAAATAAATCGGAAATTGGTTGCCCTGATCACCTGTAAAATACAGTCACTGCAGTTTACAGTACGAAATGGTTTGAGATGTCCTCCCGAGATGAAAGACGCTGTATCAAATATAGGAATTCTAATAATAATAACCACTATTAATATTATATAATACAGTAAATTCCTGATAACTCGACCCTGGCTTAACTTGTTACCACCGCTTAATTGCCATAATGTCAATATCCCGTGTGCGTGTGTGTTTGTGTGTGTTTGTGTGTGCAACTAAATAAATAAATATACAAATACATTTATTAATGTATTTATACATATGCCTAACTCGCTGTTCTGGATAACTAGTCACTGAGCCCTTTTTCCTTTGGAGTGACGAGCAATCCGGAGTTTACTGTATAATAATCGTGGCAAACTGAACACCGCAGGGCTCCCTACTCACTATGGGTGTGTGCTTGATGTTCTCCACTGTGCTGTGTGCCACACCACCGCTCTGGCTCCCAGGAATCCCTACGCTGTGGTGCTTCTTGTGGCTCGAGACCATCGTCTCCATCGAATGGCTGCGGACGCGAATTGCCCTCTGTGTGTTGCGAGGGAAAACAGGTGGCATCACATCGCGAGGTGCACACACACACACATACACACGCCCACTGCCCCACCCACACACCCACTGACCCCACCCAGCCAGCCACCCACCCATCCACCCACCCACTGACCCATCCAGCCACCCACCCACACACCGCCCCACCCACCCACCGCCCCATCCACACACCCAGTCACCGAGCAGGCACCCACCCAGCCACCCAAACACCCACCCAGCCAGCCACACACACACACCAAACAACACACACACCAAACCACACACACACACACCAACCCACACATCCCCCCACCCCAAAAAAAAACCCCTGAAAAACCTGAGTTCTTAAACCTGCTGCATTCAGCACTGAGCACTTTGCATCAGTCTGTATCATACACATGTTTTTATTATTTATGACTTCTTTTCAGGTCGTTGTTGTTCTTAAAAACATTTGAGCTATTCATTTAGATCCCGCGTATGATTCAGGCGAATGTTAAGGATCAAACACCTCTCTCCTCTCCTATTTCAAACAAACAGACACCGAACTCTCAGTTATCCTCCCTTATATTCCCCTCCTGATCCGAATTAAAATTTATTGACTATGGTGGCCTGCAAACCACACAGTCACTACACCAAAATCCTGCAAAGCACTTTGAGGCGTCTCGACGACATGATAAGACACAAAAATAGAATAAAATGCAAGTGTTGTTATTAATCAACCCAATCTAGTTTCTTGGATCTTCCCGACACCTACATAACAGCATTCACTCCGTGTCTAGTTATAACCTCATTGGGTAAAGCACGTAAAGATGTTCCTTTAACACGAAGAGCCCTATATAAATTAATTTGCTTTCAGCTGTTTATGTAAATACAGAGCAAAATAAAGACACAATCCTGCCTCATTTACAAGCAGATTGTCAGCCCCTGCATTCATTATCGCTCCCCACCTGTATCACCTCATCACTGAATCTCCAGAATAGTCTTCAATTACACCTCACCATCTGTGCCTACACACTTCACTGTACCTGTATTAATAGGTTAAACGCAAATAATCAGCCTTGCATTTGATACAGTGCCTTTCACGTCGGGAGGTTGTCTCAAAGTGCTTCACAGGATTTACTCTGAAGTGCAGCCATTGTGTATTTTGTAGTCAAACACAGCAGTTAAAATTGCGCAGAGCAGCAACCTACCAACAGCCACGAAACGACCGTTCAATTTTATCTGGGGGACTGTCGGCCAGGGCATCGGGAGAGAGAAACTCTCTTTTCTTTTTGAATAGTGTCACGGGAACTTTGATGACCCCGGAACAGGGATGACGGGACCTTGGTTTCACATCTCAACCAAAGGACGGCACCTCCAACGAAGCATCGTTTCCCCAGCAACGCACTGGAGTGTCAGCCTAGACCGAGTTCAAAGTCCCAAAGTGGGGCTTGAATCCACAACCTTTGCTGTGCGCAACTGGCTGCCTACAAAATACACTCACTGCACTCTATAGTATATGGTATATCGTAGGAAGTGCTTTGAGACCTTTCGACGATGTGATAAAGTGCGAATATCAAGCGCAAGGATTATTTGTGTGCGCCCGCACGTGTGTGTGTCAGTCAGTCATTTGGAAGACTTGTCAAATGAGCGAAATTGACAGGAACCGAGACATCAGTAGAACGTAGCGGAGAGGAACACACCTGCGGCCTCTGATTTAATCGTAAATTTCTCTGCGACGCTACCTTGAAAGACTCCAGGAATCCCCCGTGGCCCCCGTTTTCCATCTTGTCTTCATCAGAGCCCAGCCCGAGCATGGCCTGCGTCTGTGTGTGGAGCTCGTCGTGGAGGTTGTCCAGCAAAGCTGCTCGCGTTCGGTTCTGCAAAGAGAATGAAGCCAAAGGCACGGTCAGCCCCAGAGGATGGTTAGTTCGGGCTCTTAACAGAGCGACGGCTGGCGCGGAATCAGACTCATACCAGTCTGAAATTACAACGGAGTCTAAATTTGTGATACTTTTCCTGGTGGGGATATTGTCCCCACCGCACCGTTGCCCGACCTTACTTTCTCACTTACCTCGAGCTTGGCGAACTTCTCGGACTTGTAGCAAGCGCTTTCCGCGTTGATGAGCTTTGTGAGCAGAAACTCCCTGAGCTCGGTGCCCTAGGTGTACAAAGGGGCAGCGTTTAAGAAGTTTGCTCGTGAGTAGGTTACGCACAGGATAGCGATTGGATAGCGACCTGACAAAGCCATTAGTTATGTAGAAAGGTACATCTTATCATAAGAGCCCATTTGACCCATCGTAACTATGCTTTCTATCCATTTTTCAAAGCTATTTTGTTTCCCCACTAACCCCACTTCCCGAATCCTTTAATGTTTCTACTGCTCAGATACTTTTCCAGGTCCAATTCCAATAATTGCTTTCGTCCAGTGGTCAGAGTTGTTTTTGACATCCCGTTGAGCAAAGACATTTCTTCCAATCTTTCCCCCATCCCCTCAATTTTTCAGGTAACGATCCTAAAGAGTAAGGCATTGCCGTGGATAGATTCCTGAAGACAGGGAATATTAAAAATGATATTGGGAATAGGATCAGGAGGAAACAGGTTCAGGTAGAGAAAGAAACGAGTGCCGTTTCAATGGGCTGAACGGCCTGTTACTGCGCTGTAAGGTTTCTATGAGATGCAGAAGGATGTGGGGGTGGGGGGAGGGGGTTTGATTTGAGGAGGGGATCGATCATTCAACGTATTGCATTTTAGCAAGAACCCCACCATGGCCAAACAAATGTACAGGACCTTCTTACCTTCTTGAAGACGGGTGGGCTTGGCAGCATCGGTCCAAACAAGTGAACTCCATCTCGAGCAGTAACTGAAATCTGACCAGGTGGGGAGAAAAATAAGTTAAGTTATATTTGTAAGTGTAATGTACACCTAACACAAATTACTATTGAGTTACATTGGGTTGAGTCGAGTAGGACTGAGTTGGATTAAGTTGTGTTGGCTTTAGTTGTGTTGGGTTTGGGTTTCAGGTGCTCCGGGAAGCTACCCCATGTGAAGGGAGCTATATAAATGCAAGTTGTTGTTGTTGTTGTTTGGCTGGGCATTAACTGAGGCCTGCGGCTGAAAACCTTCCAAGTTACCTTATAAATGGTCGAATCGGTGCCTGGATTCTCCACTTGCACCACGACGTAGGCGTGAAGGAAGTTCGAGGCGATCATGTCTGGCACGAAGGGCGTGTTTTCCTCCTGGAACACGATGGCTACAATGTCGTTCCCGATGTGACGTTTTCTCTGAAGCTGTGACGGGCAAACCAAGGGCTTTAATCAAAGTGAACAGTTTCAATGGCGTTAAAGCTGGGTTGAGTCGAGTTGGAATGAGTCGGATTAATGTTGTGTAGGGTTTGGTTGGGTCTGGTAAGGTTTAAGCCTGAGACCTGCTGCTGAAACGCTTCCAAGATACCCTTCCCTTTGCACCCTGCCCCCTCCATCTATTTCACGCCTCCTCCTCCTTACTCAGCCGTACGGTTCTACCATCCAGTAAGTCTTTCTCCAAGTGATTCAGGAGCAAGGCCAGATGGTGTACGTTGGCAGGTAAGTCAACCACAGGAGTGTCACTGCAAAGCTCAACCCTGTCTACACCCAAGCACACGATCTATCTAACAGAGGTCACTGGATAGCTTTTGGGAGGACGGACCCAGGCGGAGCTAGTGTATTCTTTCCCAAACCCAAAGGAGCTGAGGATCCACAGTGATGTCTCGACAACAACAACAAAATATACTTGTAAAGCACCCTTGACGTCAGAAGGACAACCCAGGGTGCTGGACAGTCAAGGGCTTTTGGACTCGAGCCAGGAGTTGAGGTCAGGAGGGGTGGAGGGCAGGGGTAACCTCCCAGGGGCTGAGACTTAGCACGGACCAGAGATGCTCAAACCTTCTGGGTTGATAAGTCTCAGTTTCATGTCGTGCAGTGGTTAACAACTGAGTGCTGAGAAGGTGTAATGGGGAGAGAGAGAAAAGGAGATTATACTAAAGCTCTCTCTCCTTAGAAAGAAACATTCTCTCCTACAATCGTCAAGGAACCAGTTCATCTATTTATTCAGTTTGTCACTGGAGCATTTTCCAATTCTGGGCACTTTTCTTTGAAGATGCTAAAGGAGCCATATTAACATTCTGAGCAAAATATGGTGAAGCTGCAGTGAATGGTCATGGTTTATGCAGGAGCAGGGGACAGGCAGCTTATGATGGCAGAGGGCAAGAGCAAGAGCAGGGTCCTGACTCCAGCATTAATAATATCCAGCAGTTGCTGAATTATTCACCATGGCCATTAATCTACGAGGTTCAAGATGAGATAGTTTTAAATGGATGGGGACGAACGTTCTGGTTCTGTTATTTAGGACGCTGCACATTTTCCTCTTGGTTTTTGGAGTGACAGCTAGGAAATGGCTTATTTATCTGCTTTCGTTCCACTCTCTGAAGGCGAGGGTTTAGGAACTTGTTCTTCAATCCACATTATTATTAAAATCTAATGAGCGATGGTTGGAGAAAAACTCTTACTTAGTCTCACCCACCCTCCCTCTTGTTGCTGTGGAATTGCTCCAGAACTAATAGTCCCATCAAGGGAAGAAGAGAGAAATTTAGTGGGGAGAGAGAAAAAAAAACGGGCCAATTTATAGGCTGCAAAATTGTCAAGGTGTTAAACTGCTCGATAAACAAGACAGTAATAAAACTGCGTCGGCTGCTATCAATTAGGCGGAAATATCTCATTGCTAAATTTACTGGTAGGCAGTAAATAGCCTCTTGCCATATCTAATCTGAAACATATGCCAAGGAGCCATTCCAAGGCTGTACAATAATGTCAGGGCTCAGTCGATTGCTATGAAGTGTTTGAGTTTCATTAATAATCTAAATGATATCAACCGCTCCCCATAGTTTTTGTTTAACATAGAATATGTTTGGTTCCTCCTCCCCTCCTCCTCCCCACCGCCCTATACAAAGGACCTGTAGGTGATGGGATGATGTCATATGAAAGTGCGCAGAGCAAATACCTGCTGGGTGTCTCCCTCTGTAAACGGAAGCTTCGTGGAGACGTGGAACATTATCTCCCTGCGCTTGAACGTGGTGTAGACGGACTCGATCCCAGTTTGACCATGTACCACGTCAAGGCCACCTCGGAACCTACATCAGGGAGACATTGAACCAGTCAGACCTGTGCCTAACGTCAGCCTGGCTCAGTTATAATAATAATAATCCTTACATTTGATGTAGCGCCTTATCACTAGAAAACAATCATAATTTAGTCACTCAATCCACGACTGTTTGTGGGACGCTCCTGTGCGCAATTGGCTGCAGCATTTCGCCCACAAATTATACAGTTGATTCACTTTACAGTGTATTTGAGCTGTCTAGAAGATATGAAAAGCGCTACATCAAATGCAAATATTATTATTATTATCATCATCATCATCATCACGTCATCGAGACATCTCAAAACACTTCATGGAATATATTGTAAAGTGGATAGATTGGTATTTTGTGGGCGAAATGTGGCAGCCAATTGCGCCCAGCAGTGTCCCACATTTTTTTTGAGTAGATTATTGTTACCCCTGGCAAGCAATCCGCCAATCGACTAACAACCGGGTTCCTGCTGGGGGAGCCTGACTCTCAGGGGTGCCCTATTTTAGGTGAGACACAAAACTGAGATCTACCCATTCAGGTGGATGAGGTCCAAAGATCCCTTGTCCTGGCCAACAATTCTCCAGATCAGTTAATCCACCTCCCACCTCCTCCTCTCCCCATCACATTCCCCCACACCCATATTACTCTTTATAAACACAACTGAAGTGCAAAGAGCCCCTTGCAATGTGCCAAGGCATTTTCGCTCACCCTTTGAAATCTTGGAGTATGATTGTGTCTCCAAGCAGCTGTAGGAATTCCTTAAAGGCAGGACTTTCTTCATTGTTCCCAAACAATTCCGCTTCCGTGGTCTGAAAAGTGGAAACAAAGCCTTTTAGTGCTAGAGCATTAAATACTGAAACGTAACATAAGGTAGTAGCCCAAGATATCGAGCCAAGCGTTCACATAGAAACCGCAGTGTATTGGTTAGAGCACTCGCTTCGCAAGCGAGATAAAACCTGCACTCGATTCTCAGGCAGGGTAAAACCTTAGGCAAGTTCCCTTACTCCACGTGCCTCTGTTTACCTAGCAGTAAGTAGGAACCCAGTTGTTAGTCGATTGACAGATTGCTTCCCCGGGGTAATAATCCCTCCAAAATAAAACAAATTGATCACTCAAGCCACGACTGTTTGTGGGACACCTCTGGGCGCAATCGGCTGCCGTATTTTTCCCGACAAAAAATTGTCAATCCACTAAACAATATATTCCACAAAGCGATTTGAGACGTCTCAACGACATGATAAGGCGCTACATCAAACGCGAGGATTATTATTTGCAGACTATTCGTAGGGGCTGGATTGGATAATGATGGGCAAAAAAGACTGAAATTAAGACTTGGATTGGTAACGCTTTCATAAACAGCCTAGTCACTATCTCCCTCATATATATGTATGTGGCAGACTGCAGCCATCTTACTGAGTGATGAGGTTGTTATCTCAGCCCTTGTGACTGCTCGATCACTGGGCTCTCATTATCAACCCAGATCAGTGATGGTCTCAAGTTATCACCTGAAGGTACATAATAAAGTGAAGTGCTTTTTTGTTGCTCCTGAAAATAAAAACAATGCAATGCAAAAACTGCATCTTATTAGTTCCTCTCCCTCTCGTTAAGGGCAGCCATTACTCACCTGACTTAATTGCTGATAAATCACACCAAACTTGAAGTCGTTATTGATCTCGTGTTCGTCGTATGTGACAATCAGCTGGGACGCCTTGCGTGTGTAAAAATAAATAAAGCGGTCAATCAACAGATTGCAACACGACAACAATGCTTTTCAGCAGTCTTCCCTTCCCCCAAAACTTGTCCAACGACTTTGAGGACAATTGGTTGGAAAGTTGATCATTTGATATGGTGCCTTTCTCATCAGGAGCACATCTCAAAGCGTTTCACAGAATTTGCTGTAAAAGTGTAGTGACCGTGTACTTCTCCGCCAATCTCAGGCAAAAAAACAACCTACCTTTTTTCTGGAAAGCAGCCGAGATGAAGAAGATAAAAACGTTTGCAAATACAATACTCAGGGAGGAGTGAACGGTGCAGTGGGTTAGCGGTTAGAGAGTCCTGTTAGGTGTCAGCCATGCTCAGGTGGTTGCAGTTTCACCACAGAGGCAAAAGGTTGAGGGGTTCAACCTCCACATCAGGACATTGACTTCTTATAGTCTAGGCTGACACTCCAATGTAGGACTGGGTGTGCGATACACTGTTGGAGGTGCCGTCCTTCAGTTGAGACATTAAACTGAGGTCCCATTTCCCTGTTCAGATAGATATTAAGGATCCTGTGGTGCCATTCAAAAAGAGAAAGGACATTCTCCTGGTATCCTGGTCACCAAGCCCCCAGATACAATTAGTGATTCACTTCACGGCTGTTTGTGGGACACAGTTGTGCACAAATTGGCTGCTCTGTTTGCCCGCAGAAGTACACGGTCACTACACTTTTACAGCAAATTCTGTGAAATGCTTTGAGATGTGCTGCAGATGAGAAAGGCACCATATCAAATGGATGGATTATTATCATTATTATTATTTTTCTCACTGTATTGCAATCAAAATTGAATCACAGTATTGTCCAGTCTGAGCCATTATATTACCAGGACCTCAACACTGTATATGGGTTAGAAAGCGTACAGTGTCGAGTATATTGAACAATATAGTGGAATCAAATGTAACTTATCACTGCTCTTTCCCTCAAATGTAAAATGAGGTCACTCTGGACAGGGTATTGTCTTGCCGAGCACTTACCTTGGGGTAAAGAACAGGAGCAAACTTCACACTGGACAATTCGTCACAGAGGAGCTAAGGGGGAAGGAACAGAAAGCATTTTTTAGAGGATGCAACAACTCTGCAGTCTACACGTGTCTGAGGCTGAAATATAATTTATACAACCACCCAGCCACACACCCACCCAAACCCACACCCAGCCACCCACCCACACACCTACCCATCCCCACACCCACACACCTACCCATCCACACACCCACCCACCCACACCCAGTAAATAGATGACGGGTCAAATGGAACCAGTGCGCTGGAGACAAGATTTTCTCCATTAATCGTTCGTCTCCAATTGCCTGGAGAGGACTGAGGCCAGAATAAGGAGCGCCATCTCTTTGTAACAAGTTGACCCACATCACGTTCTATTATCCTGGGTTCCTCCTGCCCTATTTTAGCTACACACTCATCCCCAAATACACAGACGAGGAGACAAACACTGACTGGCTGAGAAATCCACAATTTGCCTATTAAAGTCGATTTGACTTCAAGCAGTGCAAACATAGGTAGATGTGGGGGTGGGGGTGAGGGGGCAGTGGGTTTAGAGAGAAGATCCCATCACCAGTACCATCTCAGGGCAGCCTGGGAATGGGCAGTAAACAATGGCTCTGTGTCATCCACATCCGGACACAGCGCAAAACAAATCATCACTTATTTGTTTTACAAAATGTTTCTGAATTTCCCTCTCCCACTCTTCCTTTTACAGCCTGTCATGTCCACAGACTTCCATTGATCTAGGCTGACGGTTAAATGGTGACATTTGCCTAGGGCGGATGCTATCAGTGCTTTGGCTGATAAGAACAGCAGCTGTACTATGAATGTATACACCAAACATTTTATTTCCCCTCCACTGAAGACACACCTTTCGAAGGCTCTTGGACATAATGTCTCTCCTGGAAGCTGTGGACTTGATCACCCACAAAACAAGTCACCTGAGTTCACCAGATTGGTCTGGATGAAGAAGATCCTTCACCCTATCGACTACCCATCCCCCTCACCCCACCTATCACTGCGTCAAGCTGCTTTTTCAATGAGTCCAAGCATCCTGGCCTCTGTCCGCCTCTCTTGGCGACTTGTTCCCTCTGCCTAAAGAACAGAAACACACATCCTGGTGTCTATCCCGAAATTGCCCTTTACGACTCTAAACCTACGTGCTCTTGTTCTACAGCCTTGACGCATCCGAACGTACCAACCTACAGTGAACATACAGCACAGACACAGACCATTCGATCCAACCAGTCTGTGGCCTGGGTTTCATTTTTCAATCCCTTTTAAAAGTTTATGCACAATCTGAGGAAGTGTCCTGTAGCGGTGAGCAGAGGCCAGATGTTTGCCTCTATCCCCCCATTGTGGCCTCTTCATGTTCCCCAGCTAGTACGTCTAAACCTGTGACAAGGGATCAGTTATACACTCGACCTCCCTGGTAGAGTAGAGGCTAGTCTCTCCCCAGGGCTGAAAAAGCAAGCACCAGGCCAAATCACGAGGTAGCATTGCCGTTGGGACATTGACGGAGGAATGTGAGCCAAATGGGGCTGTGCCTACCACACCAGACAGTAGAGGGTCCACCTTACCTTTGCTATCAGTGGGATACTGGGCAGCTGGGGGGCTCCAGCCAGTGGCAGTCGCTCGTGTATCGTTTTAGACCTGGACCTGGGAACACAAGAGCATCTTAAAATATAGGTTCTGCTCGACACGGGACACTATCTAGCAAGCGCCTGTGGGTTAGACAATTAAAACAGAAACAACCCTGAACTCTTGCCACAAAACGCACCCACCTAACGAATGCAGTCAGACCCCGTTAAAACCCGGTGGCCAAGTCACTAAAAAGAAAACAAAAAAGCCTAGATCCTGTGTTCTAATGAGCCGTGTAATGCAGTGGCCCCAGTAACATCGCAGAGTTGCAGAGAAAACCGGAGAAAGCAGAGAAAGCCAGCTAGCTAGTAGCGACCATTCTTGTGAGCTTTTCCATCCATTGTACGGAACGGCCAAAGACCAAGAGGACTGTGGCGCCTTTGTGCGGGGAAGGGGGGGCAGGGATGCACTGCACTTCCGTTACACTTCCTTGGGTCCATGGATCGCTCACGTTAAACCAAACAGCTGTTCACAAGCTGAGCCGCTGGACTACCCTCCAGTTACCTGAGTATTATCCTTAGATATTCTTGACCATCGTTATCTTCGTACTTGACCGAGAGCACCAAATTCCCCAGGACACTGCAAGAGGTGTAGAAGTTCAAATGGTCCTGAAATGACAAAGGTTACTGTTGAAGGCGATACAGGGTCTCAGAGCAATTTTTTGTTTGTTTCTTTTGATCAGCTGGGCGTCTGACACACGGGGAAACCCATCACCGTTGCTTAGGAGCATCCAAACCAAGCTGAGAATTCCACGCATCCCACCTGCACATGGAAATTCCGGAGATAAGATTGTTGGAATGGAGTCCATATTCTCTGGCTCCCTGGAGGGCAGCGAGCCAAGGCCTGGGGGACCCCAGAGTGTGTGTTAGGGTAAATGCTGGAGACAAACCAGCTCAGAGCTTTTGATACTAGGACATTGAAAAGTGCAGGGGCTCAGAGCATTTGTTATTAGCCAGGTAACACATCTTTACACATCTGTTGTTGGAGCAAATGGTCTTAACACAACCTCATTGCATTTAAATTTTGGTTGCTCAACTGCTTGTAGGTAACAAATAATTCAGAGATAGCTTGTCTGGCACATAGCAATTATGCTCATTTATGATTTGGTTCAACATGAAGCCCTGACATGGTGGATTCTGAGTTTGTCACTGACCTTGCCAAGAAAGTGCTTTCTGTAGGCTCTAGCCGTGCTGTTGCATTCCAGTTTGTACCCAAACGTGCTGGGGCTCAGATTATCCACCACATCGTCCTCACAGAAACTGCTCTCGGATGACGTAGGCGTGTTGATGTTTTCCTGCCCTTCAATCCAATAGCCCCCAAACTGAGGGAGGATAATAGGCGGAAAGGGCCCTCCTTTGCCGATGATCTGAGGAACAAAACAACCACAACAACAGATTACACTTGTACACGTCCGAAAGACGTCCCAGGGTGCTGACACACAGCAAGATTCAAACAAGATCTAAACTCGGTCGGTAATGGAAGGGTAGAGAGAACTGGTCCTTTCATCTCTGGAGACCTTCATGTGGTGAATAGAGTCTCGAGAGCACCAGATCTTTGGCAAGGAAAAGAAGAAGTCAGACTTCCCTCGGGAGGTTTTCTGATCTTTGCTGGGTTGGATCCCAAGCCCAAGACCAAGAGAAATTGTGGGCTTCGGGGGATCACATTTCTGGTGCTAGTTACTCCTCAACAGTCCCTAGTGACTTTTTTTTGTGTGTTTTTAAAGAAAAACTAGCGTGTAACTAAGGTAGACTCACCTCGTCGATGCTGGGGTAAGGAATGTAATCATCCTAAAAGTAACAGCAAAAAAATGAAATCAGATTTCAATTGGCTCTGAATCAAAGACAAAATAGCAAGCTGTAGTACAACATGGCTCAGTGGGTGATTATTAGATGATTGGCACAGGATTGTGGTAAGGGGTTACAGACGCATGCTATTGGACCCCAGGATCACCTAGATCTGATGGTAGCCATGTGAAAATCCTACATCGAAGGCACGGGCGAAGAGGAAGGTCTTTAGACGGGACTTGAAGGAGATGAGCACCCAAGCTGAGGGGGGAGGAGGGTGGGGTGGAAGCCAAGGGGAGAGGTTGTGGAAAGATAAACGAAAGCATGGTCAGATACGTTTTGAGATGATCTAAATTCCCACACGCTCAGAGAGCTGCACCGGGGTTTAACCAGGAACCAGAGAGGAGAGTAAGGTAGAGTTGCAAGGTAGGGGTTACAAGGGCTCTGAGGCCTACCCTGCGTGGCGGACTCTATATAAGTGCAAGCTGCTGTTGTTGTTGTAGTAGGTTGGCTGAGGCCAGATCACTGGCCTCATTTAAGAAATAGCTCGATGCTGTGACGGCAAGATTGCAGGGGATGATGCCCTGGGAGGATGAGATCAAATGGAACAAAGGACTTTCTTTATCCAAACATCTCTGGTGACCTTGTGTTGACATGTAAATAGATTCTTGGAAGAACAAGTGGGGCTAGCCTGTGCAATTTGGTTTCTAAAGTCACCCCTTTATGCCAGGTTTCACCCTCTAAGATAAAGAGGCCATGATGTGCTTTGCTGAGAATTATGGATGTTAATACTGCGATGGTAACGGAAAAGCAGGTACCAGATTCCACACTACGTGGGACACTTTCGAGTCAGTTCGTAGCCCTAGAGCTTGCCCTCGTCCCCGCTGAAATGGATGACATTTGGACAGACTTTTACAGTGTGAATGCCGCACTCGGGAGAGCAACTGAGTCTATTGAACAAGGACTGGAAGCAGGGAACCTTTAAAAGCAATGTCATTGTTTGGCTTCAACACACCTTCTGTTTCGGAGTCTTGTCTTTCTGTTCCTCCATTTTCGGAGCCTGTTTTCATGAAAGGAGAGTAAGGATTTTTCACACGCACACACCACACACTCCCCCCAACACCACACACACACACACACATACACAACAACACCACACGCACAACAGTACCACACTACATCACCAGACACACAAGGCAAAATAACTCACTGAAACACAAAGTTTACGTGGGCTCTAAATCCAGCCAACAAGTGCATGGTGATGTAGTGTGGTACTGTTGTGTGTGTGGTGCTGGTCAGAGATTTGCTCTTTTTATTGTATGGGAAAGATAAGATCAAACGGCCTGAAGAGTCTTTTTCATCCATGCCTCTCTTTGTGACACTCAGACCACTCCTCAGTCTCTGGCAAATGTGCTTTTGATGCAGGAAATATAAACGCTGCGACTGCTTCAAAGTGGGTAGCCTGCACACCTCCGAGTCAGAAGGTAGTGGGTTTAAGGCCGTCTTTGAAATCATGGTCGAGGCTGACACTCCAGTGCAGTGCTGGGGGAGCTCTGCATTGTCAGAGATGCCGTCCTTCGGACGAGATGTTTAACTGCGACCCCGTCTGCCAGTTCAGCGGGACATTAAAGATCCCATGGCGCTACTCAAAAAGAGCAGGGAGTTACTCTGTCCCAGTGTCTTGGCCAACAATCCCCCAGATAAAACTGCTCACTCACTCCATGGCTGTTTGTGGGACATTTGCTGTGTGCAAATGTACTGGTGTGTTTGTCCTCAAAATGCATTCTCACGACACTTTACAGTAAATCCTGTGAAGGTCTTTGAGACAATCCAACAAGGTGAAAAGCACCACGTCAAATGCAAGGATTATTAACTACAGTTTTATTACTATTATTCCTCTCATTGTTCATATAAACGCAGCACTATGTAACTGATTGTTGTCTGTCTGATCGCTGGGTATATCGACCAGGCTTCAGTGTCCTCTGCATGAGCCAATGCTCAAGAGGTCAGCCTTGTGTTTATAAAAATAGAGCCACCAGCGCAGAAACGCAAGCATCCGACCGTCAAAAGCACCTGATTTGGATCTGCAACGTCAGAACAGCTCTAATCGAGTCAGGAAAATTCATTCCTTCATCAGATGAGCAGAGCGCCAGCCTGGCGCATGAACACACCACAAGCCAGAAACGCATCACAAATTCATGACAACAACGTTGCGTCTTTCACACTTTCGACAACAAAAAAAAAGCCTTGAGGCTACGGGCCGAGTAAAACATAAAGACAAAGCGAATGTTGCTAGAAAAGCAAATAATCTGCGGGAGCGACATGTCGGAACTTTGAATATGCTTTGCATTCGTAGCGTGTTCTGTCTGTCTGATAAACTGTTCACTTTTTCATCGTATTCTTTTGTTATTGTGGAATGCTGCGGCCCGGTATTTAAACACGCACACCCTCCCTTCCTATTGCCTGGTACGAACCCTTCTAGAACGCGAGTGCCAACAAATATCAAAGCAGATCAAAGCATTTTTCCTCCTGTCACAAAATAATAACGATGCTGGCATTTGATAATAGCATCGTATCACGTCAAATCATCACAAAGAGCTTTTTCTGTAAAGTGTAGCAACTGTGCCTTTGTAGGCAAACACAGCATGAGAGGTTGCAATTTGAGTGGTGTGTGTGTGTGTGGGTGGGTGTGAGAAATACAGTTAAATATGCATTAGGAATGAAGCCTGAACAATTAGTAGCTGGAGGCAAAGTTGATCACAACACCAATAAAGGTGCTTCTACAGTTAGCCACCTGTTTGTGACACTGGATCAAACAACGCCATATCCTGAAGCCCTGGCTTTATCTCAACGTCATCCCTATCTGGTTTCTGTCACAGTGAATGGAGATGTTTGAGCTCTCTGCTGGGTTGAAAAGGGAAAAGGTGGTGGTGGTGGAGGGGTTGGGGAGAGAGAAAGAATATGAGGGAAGGGAGCGTAAAGAGAGTATATGTGCATATGTCGCACTGCAAAGTGACATTGGAACCTGTAACACATTGGCTGCTGTCCAAACTGCTGTCTGACTTTCTGCTTCCCTTAAATTTTCAGCTTAGAGTTAATGATTAAACATCCTAAAAAGGCAAACAAAATTCTGGCAGCTCTCCAGCTGGCAGACACAAGAACTGGGTGACAGCTAGACTGAGAGGTGCTCTCTCCAATCTCCCTCCCCCTCAGAAGAATTTAGTTAATGGGTTACAATACATCAACTTGCCCTTACACAGCGCCTCCAATGTCAGAGAATGTCTCAAACATTGGACAAGTTTCCTTACTCCACATGCTTCTGTTTACCTAGCAGTAAGTAGGACCCAGTTGTTAGTCGATTGGCGGATTGCTTTCTGGAGATAATAATCCCTCCAAAAAAAACCAGGACAGTTTGTGGGACGCTGCTGTGTGCAATTGCCCGCCATATTTCACCCACAAAATACACAGTTAATCCACTTTACATTATATTCTATGAATCACTTTGCAACGTCTCCATGATATGATACATCAAATACAACGATTATTATTAAATGAGCATTGTATCGGAGAGGAAGGTACTTTAGGGACATTTAGGTGCAATATAGATTGGCAGTCTGATTACAAACGTGGGAAAAGTTCCATTACTACAGAGATAACAAGCTTTGGGCTGTTTATGCTGAATTCCAGCGTTCTTTGTCACAGTCTCATCAATCAGCACGGGCTTAATCTAAACTTGTTTAAAAGCCTCTTGAACCGCTTTTAAAATGTCATCCGGCCACAAAATAAACAGAACGTCTTCTGCTGCAAAGCTGTCTCTCCTCTTCCCTTGCGCAGGACCGAACTTCACGATACATTCCACCTCTACTGGTCTGAAAGGTCACCTCGCCTTAGTCTGTCAGATCATTTTGCCTTAAGATTTTGGGATCAGGTAACGGTTAATTGGGGAGGGGTCAGACTGAAAGAGGCAAGGACGTGGGTTAATTACCTCTTGGTCAGAAACTTAAGTGTTATCGCTCCTTCTTAGCACGAGGCTTGGCTGACACTCCAATGGATGCTCCAATTTCACCCAAAGGACGGCACCAGTGACAATGCAGCCTTTTCCCATGCAATGCTGGTGCGTTGCATTGTTGGAGGTGCCATCCTTTGGGTGAGACATTAAACCGGGCTCCTGATTATGCCTGTTCAGCAGGACGTAAAAGATCTCACCGCCTGGTGTCCCTGCCAACAATCTTCCAGAAAAACATGGTCACTCACATCATGCCTGTTTTACAGGGGCATTGCGGTGCGCAATCCAGCTGCTTCAAAATACACAGTCACTACACACAACAGTAAATCCCGTACAATCAAAGCTAAACTAATTTCTTAAGACGTCAAACGAAGGACTTTTGCAGCCCTATGTATAAAATAATAACTTGCATTTATATGGAAATCTTTCACTTTAAAAATAAAAACAAAATATAACACAGTATCAAATGGTTCTCCGAACACTCGTCCGCCATCTCTGAGATTTAGAAGTGAAGAGCCTCTTACCTGCAGCTTCTCCAGCATGTCAAAGAACTCGGTGGACTGTTGAGGGGAGAGGGAGAGAGAAAGAGAGAAAAAAAAACAATTCAAACCATCGGTATACAAAACAATTGCGTGAATCTGCTCGGGAGCGTGAGAGTGTTAAACTGGACAAGCAGCCCTCAGTTCCAACCCCACGCAGGGACTTTGAGCGCACAGCCTAGGCTGGAACCCCAACATTGCCTTGTCCTTCGGATGAGACGTTAAACTGAGGTCCCATCTGCTTGATCACGCTGACATTATTAAAGATCCCGTGGGACTATTCAAAAAAAAATGGGAGTTTCTCCTGGTGCCCTGGCTGACAATCCCCCAGATAATATCATGGCTGTTTGTGGGACGTTGTTGGAAGCACTTCTGCTATGAATCTCCTGATAATGTCGTGCTTCCCCCCCAGGCCTGTATTGCAGCCCCAATCTAGACTTTGTAAATTCAAAGTCCCGACGTGGGGTTTGAACCAACAACCCTCTGACTCCGAGGCGGGAGAATGTTACCGACTGAGCCAGGCTGACGGGCAGGATTAATCTGGCAATTTCGGAGAACATCGGAGAGGGGAAATAGGGGCACGGGACTAGTTGGGTCGAATGGCATGTTTCCAGGCTGTAATGTTCTATGTAAATCTACGAAACCTAATATTGACTGGCCTCGTCGATAACAGCTCCACATTCAGAGAAAGGGCAATTATGCAAATCCCTTTCCCTCTTCATCTTTGCTAAAGGTCATGCCTTTATTATCTGCTGGTTCCACTTCGTGTATCTGTTATGTTAGGTTCATCTCCGGTAAAATCCATCTGCTAATCCTCGGCTGCATTGCTTAATTGGTCCAGATCTTAACTGAACCCTATTTATCCTCTACCTGCCCTTTAGCTCAGTACTGATATCAATGTGTCATAATCTCATCTAAAGATCAATGATGGTGTGTGTTGATAGTCTTACACTCAGTGCAGACCTCAAGCGAGACTCACTGACCCCCCCACCCCATCTCCTACCCACTCTGAGAGAGAGACACTCACCCTATCTGTCTAACCCGGAGACACTTTCAAATATAAAGCATCCTGATGTGAGACACTGCTGTGTGCAATTGGCTGCCGTGTTTCGCCCACAAAATATACAGTCGATTCACTTTACGGTATATTCTGTGAGGCGCTTTGAGACGCCTCGAAGAATTTATCAGGTGCTATGTCAAATGCAAGCAGTATTATTATTATTATTATTAATTCCAATAATGCGTCACTCACTCCGGATCCTACAATATATAAAAATAAACACCTCACAAGCACTCAGGTCAAGGGTATAATAATAACAATGATCATACAATAATCCTTGCATTTGATTTATCACATCTCAAAGCGCTTCACAGAATTGACTGTAAAGTGAATTGACTGTGTATGTTTGTGGGTGAAACGCGGCAGCCAAATTGCACACAGCTGTGTTCCACAAACAGTCGTGGATTGAGTGCCCAAATTATTACCCCCGGCAAAGCAATCAATCCACTAATTGAGTAACAACCAGGTTCCTACTTACAGCTTGGTAAAGAGTGGAGCAAGGAAACTTGGCCAAGGTTTCGCCCTGCCAGGAATCAAACCCAGGTCTCTCGCTTACGAGGCGAGTACTCCAACCACTGAGCTACAGAACTCCAGATAGACAGGTACAATAGGTGAAGGTGCTTCATAATAATAAATAATAATCCTTGCATTTGATCTGGCGCCTTATCACGTCTCCGAGATGTATCAAAGCGGTTCACAGAATATACTGCAAAGCGTATCGACTGCAGCGATGCTGCTGCGCATCATCTTGGACTCAACTCACCCTCGCGAGCGAAACTCTCAACACACCCCTGGTAAAAACAGGCCAGGCGGATTCTTCCCTCTCGCAACAACACATCACACACAACTCTGCGCTCACATTTCTTCTAAACCCAGTTGAGGGGATGGTGGGGTGGGGGGAGGAAGTTAGAGAAACATCAACAGCATTTATTTAGCGCCCTTCATGCGAGGTAAGCGTCCTGGAGCGCTTGACAGTGGCGGAGTCTGACCCTGAGCCAGGGGGAGAAGGAGGAGGAAGGTGACCGGAAGCACGATCAAAGAGGAAGGTCTTTAGGCGGGATGTGAATGTGAGGGGGGCTAGGCGGATGGGTCGAGGGAGAGAGATCCAGAGCTTTCGTGCCGTAGTGGCTTAAAGTACGGCCACCGACGGTGGAGCGGAGGGGTCGAGGGATGAACAGGAAGGCTGGAGCGTAGGGAAAGTCACAGAATAGTAATCCGGGATGCAGAACTCTTAAAAATTGTTCTCTCTCCTACCATTGTGACGCACGGGAGCCAAATGCAACACCCTCCCCGGCTGGGATCGGCTAACCACACACGCTTCACAGACTGAACTTGGAACCTCAACTCGAGTCCGGCTCAGACACTCACTGTATAAACCCACTGAGCCATTGGCAGGACGCCCAACAGGTTGCTTTTATTGGTCACAATAAAAGTAGTTATTGGTGCGGAAGTCGCGAACCCAATAAAACTGAGAGCCCCCAACGCACCTCACCACCCGTCCCCCACCACCCCACCCCCAGAGTGTCACGGACTGGAAGCACCTTGCTTGCCCTCAAAATGTCACGTAAAGAGGCGTAGTCCTCCTGCCAACAAGGCTGATATCACACGCGGCAATTTAAAGCAGCTAAATGGTTTGTGCAATCTGTGCTGTTACTGATCTCAGTCAGGGAGCTACATTTTAGAATCAAATTCTGACGCCATACGATTGCTGTCAGCCTGGCCCAGTGCGCTGGCACACTCTGGGGACTGCGGAGTCAAAAGGTTGTGGGTTCAAGCCCCACGGCGGGACTTTTTTTTGAACTCAGGTAGTCTATGCTAATAGTGCAGTGCAGAGCTGGGAGCGGGGAGAAAAATAGCGCTGCATCGTCAAGAGGCGACGTTCTTCAAAACCATTACAGATGGATCCGTTAAACCGAGGTCCCCGTCCGCCTGTTCATGTGGACATTAAAGATCCTGTGGCGCTGTTCGAAGAAAGAGAAGAGAGATTCTCCTTTGCGGTGTCCTGGCTAACGATCCCCCAGATAAAAATGGTTACTTCGTCCGACAGTTTGTGGGGCATTACTGTGTGCAAATTGCCTGCAAAATACACAGTCGCTACACGTTTCAGTAAAGCGTTTCGAGACGCTCTGCTGGCACGAAAGGCCCTAAACGGAAGTGTTCCATGAGGACATATTCTAAAGTCATCTGTAGGCAAATGCGGCAGGCGATTGGCACACAGCAACGTCCCACAACCACCTCCACAAAGGGGAAAGGATTCAAAACATCAAGACACGTTTATGGGAGGTCTTAGAAAGGTTGCCCTTAGCCACAAGATGAGAGAAGCAGAGAGAGAGAGAGAGAGAGAGAGGGGGAACGGGTGGGGGGAGAAAAAAATAAGAGAGATCTCCACCTCTCGCTCTGAGCTATCAATGGCTGTCGATCGCAGATAAAAGCCACTTCACACCACTTTGTGAGAGAGAGAGAGAATAAAACACACACACCGGGTGGTCACGAACACTCACCGTGGTCTTCAGGAGGGCTAGCATTTTGCCACAACCGACCAGCTCCCAAAACATCAGGGAACAGCTGACGTGGGGAGGGGGGCTTTCATTTCCTTCAGTGGCTCAGCAACGTAAAGCGGATAGAGACCCAGCTCAGGAGAAAACACTCGATCTGTTTCACGTCAACATGCNTTTTTTTTCAGCCTGCCTTTGTCTCGAGAGATTTCTGGTCTCCTGCAACGACCGAGCGAGTGACTGACTGAGTGACTGGCTGACGAACTGTGTAACTGGGGTGGGAAGCCCGGAGCTGAGGCTCCAGAACAGGTTGTACAGGAAAACCTGGGCCTGAGCTGAACACCTGCATTTGTTTCCCCTCATTGGCTGCAACTCAAACCTCTCCCATTCAGTTACCAAAGAGGGTTGGTACGGGATTATGTAATGGAAACAGTTCTCGCCAGGGTTCCCTCATTGAACCTTACAGCACAGAAGGAGTTATCAACTTGTCCCACTACCCCACTCTTACCCCACAGCCCCGCAAGATTTCCCTTTTTCGGTACCTATCCAATTCCCTTTTGAAAGCCATCGACATGCCATCCACCGTGGCTTTTACCCGACCCGCCAAAGAGTGTGTTTAAGTCGGGTAAAGATTGTCTTCGAAGAAGTCTCTGGCACAGCAAACACAGAAGGAAAGTAAACAACCAGCGGACAAGGCTAAGAGCTAATAAAACCGCAGTTGTTTGTGGGACATTGCTGTGTTCAACTGGCTGCCACGTTTCGCCCGTGAAATTCACAGTCGCTCCGCTTTACAATATATCCTGTGAAGCGCTTTGAGACGCCTCAATGACATGATAAGGCGCTCCTCCCCATCACCAACCCCATCCCCTAACGCCCCCTCTCCCCCCCACCATCCCGCAATTTCTTCAACCACACACGCACGCACACAGTTTAAGATACCACCCTGCCCGCTCCATCATTGGCGGTCGGGCTTTCTGACCGCACCCTCCGGAACTCCATCCCAGAGCCCCTCCGCCTCGCCCCCTTCCCTTGCCTCCTTCAAGGTCTGTCTCAAGACCTTCCTTTTCGACCGTGCCTTTGGTCATCTTCCCTCTTTCACCCATCCCCATTGCCCTCCATCCCCTCTCTGATCCCAACCCACAGCTCGGGTGCAAACCCCTCATTGCCCAGCACCTCGGGACACCCTCCTGAAGTGAAAGCCGCTGTAGAAATGCAATTTGTTGTTAATAATAATAATAAATAATAATCCTTGCATTTGATATCGCGCTTTTCATGTCTTCTTGACGCCTCAAAGCGCTTCACAGAATATGCTATAAAGTGAATTGACCGTATATTTATGGGCGAAATTTTTCAAATATTTTTGTTGCTGTGTCCTGTCACTGTACCATCCCAATCATTATCAAGTGATATTTCAATCGGTGGCTTCTTGTTAGTGGGGAAAACAGGCCGGGAAACAATAACTATTTATATTTATACAGCGCCTTTCGGGTCAAGAACACATCTCAGAGCATCTCCCACAGCTGGGTAGGGTCGAGGAAGGGGTGTGGAGGTGGGGAATAGCTATACGCACGGTGCAAGAGATGGGTTAAAAGATGGCGATATAGAGATGAGGCGGAGGGACATCAGGATGGAACTACTGAGAGCTACGGCAGAACGGCAATCTCTAGGTGTAGGTGGCATCCATATGTAGAACTCAGTCTGGTTGGGACACTCTTAAGCATGGTGATGGGTTTCTGCATGTATTAGACCTCAAACTAACCAAGAAACAAAACAATCCTGTAATTTGACAACAGTTCACAGATCCCCGCGGTTTCTTCTACTTCAACTCCTTGCTTTCTCCTTGTTCTCATTCTCCGCCCCAACCTCCCATCAACCGCCCCCCACCCCACTCCGCTCGCCTTTTGCTGGCTGCTGATTAAATGAGACAAGGCAGCGTTTTGTGGAAGGAATCAAGGCCAATTAAGGGAGCTCTGGAGAACGTGAAAGAGAATCTTGTCATAATGCGAGAGGCCGAGCAAGGAGCAGACAGGAACCTCATAAAAAGAGATTAGAGAAGGAATCCTTCAATGCTGTTCTTGTTCCAGGGGTGACCTTCATTACATCCAATCACTTGATTCAGGATTTAGTCATCGATTTTGTTGTTTAAGCGCTAAGGATTTCGAGCATGTGCGTGGGATGTGATGTGGGGGAAGGGGGAAGAAGGAGGGGGGTGGGGGGGGGCCGGGCGAGAAATAAAATTGTCACCCGGGGGAATATGTTCCGTGGAATTCTGAACGTCTCGAATTTGCCAAACAATAAAAAAACAAGAGTGATTTGAAGAGCCATCTGCTGATTTCAGGCAATGTATCTTTCATGTCCTTTGTGACTTTCAAAGTCCACAGATTTTGCCGTCCTGTTTTTATATATTTCTTATACAATCACTGATTGAATGTCATCATCCGTCAATTGAGAAGGTCAATGTTTCAGGAGAGAACGCTCGCTCTACTCCTGATGTCTCCGTTAAGGTTATAACATCAGCAAGGTGGACCTCTCTACTCTGTCCTCTTCTGTAAGGCTTCCTTAGAGAAGCACCACCAGCTGTGTCAACTGGATCACCCCAGACAAACCACGCTTCTGTCCTTTGCTAATGGAGACTGTTCTATGGGAGGGGGAGGGAAGGGGGAGGTGGGGGAGAAACAAATCAAAGAAAAAAAACAAATTTGGTCACTCAATCCACGACTGTGTGCGCTTGCGAGCTGCTATGCGGGTACAATTGGCTGTCGCGTTTCGCCCACAAAAACAATAAAGTCAGTTCACTTTACGGTATATTCCGTGAAGCGCTTTGAGATGTCTCAACGGCGTGATGTGGTGCTGTATCAAATGCAGGACCATTGTTGTTAGTGTCAAAGTGAGGTCCAAGTCTGTCCTTGTCCACATCCATCTATGCCATCCTGCCCAGCACGGACCACTATTTGGAGATTAGAAATCTCCACCCACCTTACACACTCTTACCTCCGAACCACCAAATGTCATGCTGTTGAATTTCAGGGCGTGGAGCATAGCGCTGCTGTCTCAGTGTTTAAACTGGTGTAGCTCATCCTACTCAGAGATAACAATCCCGTGTCCTTTTTTGATTAGGTTTGTGCAGAGAACACAATGCTGACTGCCTCAGCGTGCGTACCAGCAACTTTGATGAACACAGCAACAGCAGCTCGTATTTATACGGTGCGCTTCACCCAGGAATAGCATCTAGGAGCACTGCCCAGTTGGGATGCTGAGATAGGAGAGAAGTGGGAGGTGACCACAGGCGTGGTTGAAGATGAGCACAGCATCGAGTGCTCCCAGGGCACTGATGGAGACTGTGGACACTCTTTTTCCTCAGTCTTCCATTCTTCCCAATGCTCGCAGGCAACCAGACAGATGACAGTCACACTGATAGGTTCTGATGGAATATACTTTCAGGGTGCGTCGTGTTGGGGGTAACTTGCCTGTTGATTTTACTCGCTTCCAGGATTCAATGACTTATGAATTTCCTGGGGATTCTGTTCTGACGCCTCTAATTGCGCACTGGGGTCACCAAACGGAGCAAACTTCTCAAAATGACAACACTCCCATCAAAAGGTCTGAGACTCTAAGAAAACTCCATTCGATGGAATTGCATTAACACATCCATTTCTGACCTAAACGGTTAACTGTTTTAGTGGCTTTCTGCTTATTCTCCGTCCAATCTTAACGCAGCCACAGACATACTCATTAGACTCCTTCGATGAAACTAATGCAGCACTAAGCCAACACAGAGCAGGAAGTTTAAGGTTTCATTGCTGGTCTGGGCTAAGTTAACTTATTAGTGCAATTGGATCACCGCAATTGGCCTCAACAACAACAACAAAATTACATTTATAGAGCTCCTTTCACATCAGGAGGACGTCTCAAGACGCTTGACAGTCAGGGGTCAGGACCCGAGCATGGGGGAATGGTAGGGTAGGGGTGAGGGAAGGCAGAGAGGCGGGAGGGAGACCGAAGGCACGATCGAAGAGAAGGGTCTTGAGACTGGCCTTGAAGGAGGCAAGGGAGGAAGCGAGGTGAAGGGACCGTGGGATGGAGTTCCAGAGTGTGGGGGCAGAGAGGCTGAAAGCCCAGCCACTGACGGTAGGGTGGGTCAGGCGGGAGACATGGAGCAGGCTGGAGCCCGCTGATCGGAGGGAACGGGCAGGTTGGTAGGGAGTAGGCAGGTCAGAGAGAGGTAGGAGGGGGCAAGGCAATGGATGGCCTTGAAAGTGAGGACGAGGATCTTGAATTCGATCCTCTGGGGGATGGGGAGCCAGTGAAATCGGGCGAGGGTAGGAGTGATGGGGTCACGGAGCCTGGTGCGTGAGAGTATACGAGCTGCAGAGTTTTGGATGATCTGCAGCTTGTGAAGGGAAGAGTTGGGAAGGCCGATGAGGAGGGAGTTTCCGTAATCAAGCCTTGAGGTGACGAATGCATGGGTGAGGATTTCGGCAGCCTGAGGGGTGAGGCAGTGGTGGAGTCTGGCAATGTTGCGGAGGTGTTGGTAGGCAGTGCCGGTCATGGCGCGGATGTGGGGGAAAAAGGGAGGAGAAAACAACTTGTGTTTCTCTAGCTCTCTTCTATATTTTGGGGAGGCCAACACTCACCCCCCACATCCCCTACCCCGCACCCCCCCCCCCCCCAATAGGCAAATATTCCACCCAGAGTGGTCTGCCTACCTTTGTGCTGGGCGGAGCGGTGTATGGCGGTGACAGGCGCGGCTCATGCATGCTCACGTCAGCTCCGTTAGCCATTTCCTGTTTCCTGTGAAGAAAACCAAACGGTGAGTTAGAGAAATGCTTCGTAAACTCCGTCTACACACAAGTCACAACGACAACTTGCACTTATATAGCGCCCTCCGCGCGAGGTAACGTCTCAGAGCGCTTAACATTGGCCGAGCCTGACTCTGAGATGGTGGTGGTGGGGTTGTGGGGGAGACCATAAGCCCGGTTGGAAAGGAAGGCCTTGAAAAGGCGAGCGCNGGGGGGGGCAAGGCGGAGGGATTGCGGGAGCGTGTTCCAGAGTTTAGGATCATTAGGATCACGTTTGGGTGGCGTTTGTATGTGGAACTGGATACTCTTAAGCAATGGTGATGGGTTTCCTGACGTGTCATACACCCAGGATAACTAACAAAATAAAACCACCATAAGAGGAAGATGCCACCTGGTAGAGAGAATAGTGCAAACAGGCTCTGGAGACCAAAGTCCACCTGTGGGATATGTAGCAAAGTGTAAAACAGCGAGAGAACTGGTGTTAAGTGACGCAAACGCCAACAGACCCGGTGAAACTCCCTTCTCTTCAGTTCCAGAGACTGTGGGCAGAATGGTTGAAAGCTCGTCGACCGATGGTGGTGCGGATAGGGCAGGGGTTACAAAGCAGGCCGCTGTTAGCTGAGCCGATGGGTAGCAAATGATGTAAAAATGTTATATACATCAGAGAGTGTCACTTGCCTGGGAAATAATAATAATAATAACCATGCATTTGATATAGCGCTTTTCACGTCTAATAATAAAATTCCTTGCATGCGATTTAGTGCCTTTCACGTCAAGAGGACGACGTCTCAAAGTGCTTCAAAGGACATACGGTAAAGTGACTGTGTACTTTGTAGGCAAAAGCCAACCTGCCCTCCAAAACAGCCCTGGATGTAAAGTGTCGATATTAAAAGCCTAAAGACAAGAACCATAGCCCATAAATAGCTGGCCCCAGATTGAGGGTATCAAACAGCTGATGATTTCCTTCACACTTGGAAACTGTGCATCTTAGGCTCTCTCCATCCGCGTTTCCACAGCTGCTGTTGGGAAGAGGCAGAGAAACAGGAGGTTTGTTTCTAAGACAACCTCACTGGGACCTGTTACAGGATTGTTATTGATTAACCACTGGGTCTCGCTGTTAGCTGGTGACGCTCCACCCATTAGTTTCCAAGTCTCCAAATTAACAGGAGACTCCACAAAAGCATCCATCTCCTGGCCTCAAGCAGCCGCTCACTAATATACAGATGGCCAGCGATAGCACGCACTCTCTCGTGTTCGTCTATCGCAGGCCACGTGCCCTTGGAACACGTTGAGAAGATCAGTATCATCGAGTCTGGATCTAATCACACTCGCCAGGAGTATATCCTTGTGAGCCGATCACCCCTTTCCCCCCTGCCCCACCCCATATCTCCTCCAGGTTACAGCAAATTCACTATAAGTTCCATGCGAAACTGTGGAACGCTCTCCTTCAATCCCTCTGCCTTGTCCCCCGTCTCCCCTTTTTTCAAGTCCCGCCTGAAAACCTTCCTGTCAACCTGGCTTACGGTCAACTCACCCCCGCCACCCCACCCCCGGCTCAAAGTCAGGTTCCGACACTGTTAAGCACTTTGAGATGTTACCCTGCTTGGAGGGCGCTATATAAGTGCAAGTTGTTGCCGTTCTAATGGCCTCCATCCCCTTACCCCACTCTACCTTTAAGCGCAACGAGATGGAACCCCCTCGTGAAGGGAGCTACAAAAATGCAAGTTGTCATATCTGTCACCTCATCTCAGTGATCTCCCGAGGTCTTGGGAGGCTCTCTCGACGTGAAAGGCACTATGTAAATGGAAGTTTGTTGTTATTGTTGTCTTACTTCCCCGCCCATTCCCTTCACTCTGACATCCTGTTTCAGTATCCTCTTTAGAGGATATCAATACATTAAATATTGCAGCATTCGACCCAACTAGAACATTCCAGTTTTAAAACTCCACATAAGTCTCCGCGTCTCCTAATCCCCTTCCTCCAAATCCCCTCCCTCTCTCTCCCCATCTCCCTCTACACTCCTTCTCCCTGGCGTATACATTAAAATCTATCCACCTTGCCCCCATCAAGTTTAACTGCATGTAAGGCACTAAACAGTTTGCGTTTCGCCCACAAAATACACAGTAAATACTACACTTTACAGTATATTCTATGAAGCACTTTGAGACGCTTCGAAGACGTGATAAGGCTCCATATCAATTGCAAAGATTATTATTATGATTACAACACCTTGAATTAAATCTCAAACCTTAATGTAGTAGTTTGCTTCCCATGGCCATCACAGCCAAGCCTTACTTAGCCTCACCAACATCCACATTGCTCTTCCTTCCTTTCCAGAAGTGATCAAGAAGCGGATTATCCCTAAACCCAGGGCCATTGAAGCCAATTGTCCATCCTGGACTACAGCCCCCTTTGAGATCAGCTAACGCTACACCGACAAGGCTGAAAGCTACTAAGGCTTCCAGGTCTAACACTGCACTTTCATCCACTGTAAGGGTCTTGTCCAACCAAGTTTTGCTTTTGAAAATAAATTGGGTTGTGGGGGGGGGGGGGGGAAAGAAAGAGAAAATCCTATCAATCACAAGATCTATCTATATCACATTAAGAACGTGTAAACAGTCGCTAATTAATTAGTAGCCCACTCTTCAGATAGCCCTCTAGCACACCTCATTATGGAGCCTGGAGTCGTGTTCCCCATCTGTGTGATAAATCCTCGCCACGATGCAGATTAATAGAGACAACAAATGTAGTAATCCAGTCACCAGAGCTTCCTGGCAGGTGATCTTTATCCTGGAATCACTTAACAACAGTGGCCCCCACCCTGAGTTCCTTTTATAGGCTTCAGCTTATCAAATTATGGAGGGCAGTAAACTTTCCCATTTACCTTTAATTCAGGTAAAATGAGAATCCAATGCTTACTGCACTACAACTCATCCAAACCTCCCTTCAGGATCTGGAAGAAAATCAACTCAAGGACTTAAACTCAGCGGAGGTCCTGTACCTCAGTGGTTAGAGCACTCGTCTCACAAGTGAGAGACCTGGGTTCGATTCCCGGCAGTTTCCACCTCTGTTTACCTAATAGTAAGCAGGAACCCAGTTCAGTTCAATTGTCAATTGTCAATTGGCAGAGCACTTTTCTGGAGTTAATAATGCCTTCAAAAATCAAACCCAAAAAAATAAATTGGTCACTCAATCTCCAACTGTTTGTGGGGACGCTGCTGTGTGCAATTGGCTCCCGTGTTTCGCCCACAAAATATACAGTCAATTCACTTTACAGTATATTCTGTGAAGCGCTTTGAGACGTGATAAGGCGCCATATCAAATGCGAAGGTTATTATTATTAAAGGATATATTTTTCATACCTGAGGTGTTTTTCGGGCTGTCTTGACCTTAACACCAGACATCGGCATAATGCATTTATTTTACAGGTGTGAATGTTGTATTAATTTGCCACATGCCGTTATACAATGCGTGGCATCGTGTGTTGGAATATTTAAGCCACTCCTATTTACTTGGTAAAGCGCCTTATCATGTCATCAAGGTGTCTCAAAGTGCTTCACAGGATATACTGCAAAGTGGAGTGACTGTGTATTTTGTGGGCGAAACATGGCAGCAAATCGCACACAGCAGTGTCCCACAAACAGTTGACCAGTTTTATTTGGGGCATTTTCTGACTGGAAACCCTTCATTTACATCTTAGACGCTCTGGGTTGCCATGTGTGTTTTTTTTCCTGAGTTGAACTGTGCAAAGTGTGAATGTGTGAACAGGAAGTGTTGCCAACCCCTACTAGTCAGCCATCGGGACCGGTAGGCATAGAGCGTGGAGTTAGGAGTTATCAGTCCGGTTCAACCCAACTCCTAATCCTATAAGTGGTAATAAAGTACAATAGACGGAGCAAAAGAAAACACAGCATAAAAACTCGGCTTTAGATGTTTCTGGCATCACGACATCACGCCACGCAGCTCAAATCCAATCTATATGGCAAACCGTCTGTGCAATGGGAGCGTCTCCGAGTAAACAACCGCTCCCTTGCTTTTCATCCCTTCTCTAGAATCCAGAAATTAATCTAGTCGTTCAGTGTCTGCGGTTCTTGCTACAAAGCTTGAGCGTTAATAACGTTGTAAGAGATGGAAATTGTTATTTTATTCCGAACGGCTTATTATGCAAAGTTATTTGAAATGCAATAATCCTGCATCTTAATACTCGCGGGTACGAAAAGACAATGTGCTTCTGAAATGGCACCGAAATAGAGTCTCTCGGACTTCAAGTCAAAAAATCTACGGAATATTCCCTTCCCTTGCCTCCTCCTTCATCCCCCCCTTCTCATCTTCAACTTCCTCTCTTCCCCCCACTGTACTGTGGAAGATGATTCATTTGACCAAACACTGAATAAATTGGAGTTTGTGGGCAATTCATGACATATATAATACGACATTGAAAGCAATTCCTTCCCTAGAGAACTTCCTCAAGGTAAGGTTATTGCAAAAAAGGATATTGCATCATTAATGTTGTCTCATCTCCTCTTGTATTCATCCAGAAACTATTAGAGCTAATGGGACATTCTTTAGATCTGAAAGTAAATATTCCAATTGCTTTAGTGCTGCAAGATTCCTGTAAACGGACCTGTGTTCCCGAAACACATCAGTGGGAAATGCAAAAACATTGGCTTTTGAAATATTCCCTCCTTTCTCGTTCCAGCTAATTTTTTAGAATATTACACAAAACAATTTGGCTTTCTTTTGCATTATTTGATCCCTGAGGTATCAAAATAATTAAGGGGGACGTCACTGAAAGTTGTAATGGCTCAGTAATGATAAAAATTCTTGCATTTGGTTACAGCGCCTGTGACATCGGAAATGTCTCAAAGCGCTTTACACACTTTCTATCAATTGTGCTGACTGTGTATTTGGAGGGGGGTGTGGCAATCAGCCAATTCAGGCACAATAATGACCCACAAACAGCTGTGACGTGAATGACCAATTTTATCCGGG